AGGGTCCCCTGAGCACCGCCAGAAGTTTTTCCTGAGTGCAGAGCCAGGAGAAACCCCTGAACTTCACTGGGTGTGACCAAAAAAATAAAAGCAAAAAGAAACCCAGCCGACTCATAATTCATAGACTTGTCTCTTGCACCTGGGGGCGAAGAGACGGCAGACTCACATCAGGTTGGATCTTGAGGGGGTCAAGCGACCAGCCAGCACCCAGGGACTGCTGAGGACAGTGAGCAGCTGTCACTCTCATTCCTACCGCCGCCAGCACTGCCACTACCATTATCATTAATTCTGCAAGTGCTGGGGCCAGGCGGGCATGGGGGCAGGCAGAAGACAGACATGAACCCCAAGTTCTCCGAAGGGGGGTACCAAGAGAGACTGAACGGGTACTTCACCCAAATTTTGAGCCAATGCAGGTTCCTGGGCCTGCAACCCAGTCTGGGGGGGTCCCCTCCTTCCCTGTGGCCTGGAGAGAGGCAGTTCTAGACCTGCCCACAAGAGTGGGCTTTAAAAGCTCCCCATTGGGGCTTACTCCTCCCTGTGAGGCGGAGCCACAGGCCTCATCCCTTTCTGCTCAGTGACCAAGTTGGAGCCCCCAAATCCTTGAGACTCGCCTCTCCCCAGAAACAGTCATGGTCATCTCCAGGAAAGATGACCGGAAACACCCCATCTCCCACATTTCCTGACTAGGGGTCCCCCTTTTCCTATGTATGGGGGGCTGGGCTCTGCAGTGCCTGGAGGAGCTTCCCTGGAGGGATGAGTCACCAATCTGTGTCCAGGGCCTGGGAGGTAGCATGTGGTGAGGGGCACACCTTGCCCTTATGAGGCCCACACCTTGCCCTTATGAGGCCCTAGGTTCGATCTTTGGCACCACAAAAAGAAAAGCACGAATAACAGCACAAGGCCCTCGGCAGTGGGAACCCCCAATAATGCAGTCCGAAAAGTAAGGGGATCACACCAAGGGGGTACAGAGGGTCCCGCCATCAATCTAAGACCTCGGCTCGCCCTGTCCTGGGGCCAGCAGCCATCTTGGGGGGGCATGGGACTTGGCACTTGGGGAGAGCCAGCCTCACTCCCTTGTTGCAGCTCTGTCTGCCGGTACCCCCAAACCTAGCTCGTGCGACAGTGACCCAAGTTCTGGAGTGCTCTCTAATGTCCCAGCATATCCACCGCCTCCCCAAACCTCCTTCGTGCTCCCCACACCCAGTGAAATACAGCATGATAAGTACAGTTCTGATAAATTTGGGGGTGAAAGGTGAAATTCAACATGGCAGGGCAGGGGGGCCTCATTTTCAGTTTTAGACTTGTCAGGAGTTGGAACGGGGTACAGCAGGGAAGACACCGGCCTTGCATGTGGTTTGGGCCCTAGCCTGGCACAGGGGCCCCTGGGCACTGCCAGATATGGCCCCAATCCCCCTCCAGAGAAGCCTTCTCACCCACCTGTCCTCACTGGCTCAGCTGTGTCTCTACCTTGCCTGTCACTGCTGCGATGCTGGTGACCACACGGGTGGGGAGGGCTGGCCGGCACAGCTTGGCCTGTGAGTCAAGGGATCAGCACAACACCCCGGCCCAGCTCCAGACCCCTGGTCCCACCTGGCCTCTCCCAGGACTCTGCACCCCAGCTCACTCTTCCAGGAGGAGTCTGGAGCCCAGGGGGAACCGGGGGCAGCTGGGGAGTCCCAGGACCCCCAAACAGCAGGGAAGGCACTTGCCTTACATGCAACTGACCATCCCAGAAACCACCTAGGGGCCCCCCAAGCCCCTAGGAGTAAGCCCCGATCTTACTCAGGTGTAAAAACAAAACAAAAACGCTGCCTTTTCTGCAAAGTGATGGGTGCAAAGTCATGGGGGGTGGAGGTGGGGGGAATATCCCCATGTAATGTAGGTGGGGGAGAAACCAGGCAGAAAAGTGGGTGTGCCTCTCTGCGGGAACAGACAGTGACCAAGGATGCTCTGTCCATCCCCTGACGAAACTGAGGCCTAAGAGCACACAGCTGGGAAACCAGACAAGCAAACCAAGTCTTGCCCCCTCCCTGAGCCAGAGGCCCCCTCAAATGCAAAAGTGAGGGATGACAGGACAAGCGCCAATATCACCTTCAGCTTTGGGGGCGGGGCAGCTCAACAAAGGTGAGCCCCTAAGGAGACACAGAGCATTTCGCTGACATTCGCCTCTGCCCTCAGTTTCCCTGGCAGGGTCATCTGCGCAGGGCCTGTGTTGGTCCAGGAAAAGCTCCAGGAGAAGGGGGCTCCCGGGCCTCAAAACCCCAACCCAAGCCCTGAAGCCTCTTCCCCAATTCTCAGGAGCGAGCCGGCTTCCATCCTTTGCCGGCGGAGGCAGGCCAGGACGCTATTACCAGCTCCAGAACGAAGCAAGAGCAAAGCAAAGGGCTCCCGGCCCAGGGAGCTATTTGGGGAAAAAAATCTTCCCCAGGCTGGCAGCTCTAGGCCACGCCCCTCCACCATACACACGCGCGCGCACACCAGAAACCCATGCTACACCGGAACACTTCCCCTTCCTTCTGACCTCCGTGTCCCGCGCCTGCCCACGTGGCTCTGGAGGCTGGTACCTCCCGGGTGACATGTGAGCCCCTTGACACCAACTGGACTGAGCAGAATGCATGTGCCTAAGGGACGGTTTAAGAAAGCCAGGAACCATCCTCAGACGCCATCTGCTCCCCGGCCCAGAGGGGGATCTCGGGGGAAGCTGGAGATCTGGCAGAGCAGCCCACTGACAACCTAAAAACTTTCTCTTCCCCTCGCCTCCGGGCTGCAAGATTCTCTGCGCTAAAAACAGACCCCTTGCCCACAGCTCCTGGGGAAACTCTGGGTTGCCCCTAAAGCCTTCGGAAGACACAGGGTGCCGTGCCAGAGCGGATTAAAAATCTGAGACGGGGTTGATGGCCGATGCGTCAAAATCACATTCGTAAACGGTAAACGGTTGGTGGGGACAGAAAGTGCATTAGAGTCATTCCGTAAACGGAAGCGTTGGTTTTTTTTCCCCCAAAAAGCAACTGAGACCATGGGCATCAGTCTCCCCATTCCACAAGGATGGCAAACTGAGGCCTCGAGGTGGTAGACTTTAAGTCTCCGAGTCCGCTGGGAGCTATACAGAGACGCAGCACAGGTGCACCACACCTCGGAGCACCGCAGAGGGGAAGCCAAAAGGTCCGGAGGCCGCAGCCCCACTTGGTTCCCGGGGGCCCGGGCTGACTCCGCCTACACCTTCCCACCTGGCTCCGCCCTTTCACCTCGGCCCCGCCCCGCCCCTCCCTCGCTCCCATTGGCCTAGCCTCCCCTAGGCCCGCCCCTTCGCACCTCCCGACATATAAAAGCCCCCCGCCCGGGCCGGCCGACCTCCACTTGCCGGCGGCCTGCAAGCGCCCGCCCCTCGCGGGGGCTGGACTGCGGGGCCGGAGGGCGGGTGGTGTCGCCCCAGCCGGGCCCCGGCCCCCTCCCCCACGGCCCCGACAGTGGCCGCCGCCATTTTGACCGCCCGCCCCTTCCCCGCGGGCTGTGGTTACAGCGACACACGCCACACGGGCCCAGCCGCCCAGCCCGCCCGGCCGCCCTGGGCCGCCCCGGTTACCTCGGCTTCTCCCCACTTCTGTCCGCGGAAGGCCTTCCCAGAGGTCTCAGAGGCGATGCTGGGAGGGGGACGGAACGTGCCAGGGTCCCAGGGCCGGACGGGGGGGGTGGGGGTGGGGGTCGGCCGGGTGGTTGTTGTTGTTGACTCGCGTTGCCGGGTTGCTTGGTCGCCACGACTACCGTGGCTATGGCGCCTCCGTTTCCCTCACCGGGGCAACTGTTGCTACCCACCCTACTGACGTCACGCTCCGGGGGCGGGGACCCGGGTGATTGGCGGTGCCGGGAGCGGTGATTGGGCCGCGCCGTGCCCTGCCGCTAGGCTATTGGTGGCGAAATACGCCTTTCAACTCCCGCTGGACTTCCTGGCGCTCTGATTCACCGGTCGGAATGCCCATCAAAGGAAACTGAACCCTCAAAGGCCGCGTAGCCCGTCACTCCCCCAAGGAAGCAGAGGGCGAAAAATCAAGGGGGCGGAGACTGCCGGGTCGCGATTGGCGGGCGGTGGGGAGTCCTGCCTCTTGGTTCGACGGAAAGTGGGTCAATCTACACTTGCGTCCCGCCCCCTGGCTGCAGTCCGCGCGCGTGCGTCACGCGCAAGGTGGGCTGGGAGTGGTAGTCGGGATCGCGAGCCGCGGACGCCTTACCGGCGCCCAAACAAAAGGGCGAAGGAGGCGAGCGCTGCCTCCGCACCCCGCACCCTGCCCTGCTCGGCCAGCCGCCCGGCCTCGCGCGCTGACGTCACGGCAGGAATGCGGGGACGCAGGGCGCCCCTTCTGTGACGTCAACACAGGATTCGTCTGGGGATTCGATGACGTCACTGGGGCGCTTTCGCCTCCCTCCTCTGTTGCCGTCCTGGCCGCTGTCGCCGGAAAGGTCACTGTGCCCAGGCCACCGGCGCGGGGACAGGGATTAGCGGCTGGGGCAGCCCAGCGGGACCTCGCAGTGACCCCGCCCTCTCCCACTCTCTTCTGAGTTCCCCCCCCCCAGCCTCAATTTCCCCCAGGGAGAAAAAAGGCCAGAGGGTGATCGCCTCGGGCGCAAAAAAAGACCTTCAGATTATAATGATCTATACGACAGTATTTTTTCCCAAAATTTGTTTTACTCATGCACAGTGAGTGATAAAAGTTATTCTTAGTTGGTTTGTTGACGAACAGGTTTCCAACACCATCTTGCCACAAGCGTCAACTTCCCCTCCCCCAGTGCTCCCCGGTTCGCTCTCCTATCTAGCCCCCATATGTTTTTCGGTTTGGGGCCACACCCGGCGTTGCTCTGGGGTTACTCCTGGTTCTGCACTCAGGAATTGTTCCTGACAATCTCAGAGATGCCAGGAATCGAAGACAGATAGCTGCTGTACTATCTCTCCAGTTCCATTGTAGAGAGAGATTGTGTTTGTGTGTGTGTGTGTGTGTGTGTGTTTTAAAGAGTGAACGCAGCCCCCCACTACCACAAATTTTGCAGTTGAGTTTCCCACATTTGGAGAAATCACAGAGGTCAGCATATCCGGAGAGCAACAGCCAAGCCTCATCCTGGGAAAACCACCTTCGCCATCGTGGTATCTCCCCTGCCAATAGAATTTTTTTTAAGTTCAGAGCGAGAGAAAGAAATGTAGGATGGAAAAATACTAAACTTTGCACAGCTGAAGCCCTCAGATTGGGACCCGCGGGAGTGACGCTGCCGCTGCTGTGTCCCAAGCTCAGGGTTTTGTTTTTATTTTTGTTTTTGTCTTTGGGCTACACCCAACCCAAACCACAGAGACCAGAACTATACTACAGAGGGTATAGCACTTGCCTTGCACACGGCCAACCCAGGTTTGATCTCCAGCACCTCCTAGGGTTCACCAGTGTGACCCAGAAACAAACATGCTTTTATGATTTTGGATGGGTGGAGGGAGCTGTCCCACACACTGCCAGAAGCCCCAGGTAATAGCGGTTTTCAGAGGCCACCAAGCCCCTACCTGGCAGTTGGCAAGTATGGACACGTGGTGCTAAGATTTAAAGCCAAGGTATCTCTGTGCGCCCCAGCCCTGTAGCTCTGCAGGACCTACCAAAGTCCCGACACCCTCATGAAGTGGACAGACCTGAGTCTGTGTGAGTATGTGTGTCTGAGTGAGAGTGTATGTGAGTGTTTGTGAGAGTGTGTTTGCTTGTGTGTCCGAGTGTGTGAATGTGTGTCTGAGTGTGTTTTCGAATGTGTGAGTCTGTGTGAATGTGTGTCTGAGTGTGAATATGTGTTTGAGACGTGCAGTGTGTATGAGTTGGTTTGAGAGTTTCTGTGTGCGTTTGAGAGTGTGTGAGTCTGAGTGTGTTTGTGAAAGTGTATGAGTGTATGAGTGCGAGTGTGTGTGTATTGTGATTGTGTGTTTATGTGTTTTGTATGAGTGAGTGTGCTTGTGAATGAGTGTGTTTGTGAATGTATCTGTGTGTGTTTGAAAATGTATGTGTGAATAAGTGAGTATATGTTTGAGAGTATGTGTTTGTGAATATGTGTGTGTGAATGTGCGTGTTTATGTGTGAATGTGTGAGAGTATGTGTGTTTGTGTGTTTGAGAGTGTTTGTGAATGTGAGTGTGTATATTTGTGTGTTTGAAAGTGTGTTTGAATAAATCAGTGAGTGTGTGTTTGAGAGTATGTGTGTTTGTGTGTCAATGTGTGTGAGTGTGTGTGAATGTGAGTGTGTATATTTGTGTGTTTGAAAGTGTGTTTGTGAATAAATCAATGAGTGTGTTTGAGAGTATGTGTGTTTGTGTGTCAATGTGTGTGAGTGTGTGAATGTGAGTGTGTATATTTGTGTGTTTGAAAGTGTGTTTGTGAATAAATCAGTGAGTGTGTGTTTGAGAGTATGTATGTTTGTGTATCAATGTGTGTGAGTGTGTGTGAATGTGCATGTGTGTTTGTATATGTGAGTGCTTGAAAGTGTGTGTGTTTGTGTTTGAGTGTGTATTTGTGTGTGAATATGTGTGAGTGTATGGTTGTGTATGTGCTTGAGAGTATGTGTGTGAGTGTGTGTGTGTTTGTGTGAGTGTGTGTTTGATAGTATATGAATGTGTGTTTGAGAGTATGTGAGTGTATGTGTTTGTGTGTTAATGTGTGTGTTTGAGAGAATGTGTTTGAGTGTGTGTTTGAGTGTGTGTGTTTGTGTATGTGTGTGTATGTGTGTGTGTGTTTAAGAGTATGTGTTTGTGTGTGAACGTGTGTGTGTTTGTGTGTGTTTGAGCTTGTGTGTGTGTGTGTTTGTGTATGTCTCGGGGCCTTAGAGGCCTGTGTCCAGTGCAGACACTTCCTGCGTGTGTCATCGCCAGCTTGTCCCCGCCTGCCCCAGGGAGGCAGGAAAGGGCAGAGCCGCATCTGCAGGCAGGCTGGGTGCAGGCTGGTCGAGGCCGGGGGCAGGGGGCAGGCCGCATTATTCATCAGCCCTTTCCCAGCACCCCCGCTGCCCTGGCTCCTGACTCTGCCACGTGGCCCTTGGCCCCAGACACCCACGGGAGTGGCCAACCGAGTCTGGAATCTGTCATGGAGAAAAGGACAGGGATGAAAGTGACAGAGGCTGGGGAGGTGTCCAGAGAGATTCTGCCCAGGCACACACAGGCTGCCGCCCCAGACCCTCCCTGCTTTGATGGTGAGGAAAGCAAGGTACAGAGAGGTTCCGCGACTCTGCTGAGGTCACACAGCAGGAAAGGGGTTCAGATCCAGGTTCCCCAGCCACTGAGCCCCTGAGCTGCATATGACAAGTACAGTGAATGTGAGGGAATAGGTGGGATCTGGTGGCTTCGTGAGGTGGGCACCTCGGTACTGCAGAGTTTGCGCTCAGTGCAGAAGAGTCGGGCGGAGATGCGACTCAGGCCTTCTGGCCCCACGCCAGAGAGAGAGGACACGGCGGGCATTTGCCTTGCATGCAGCAACCTGGATTTGAGCCCTGGCATCCTATTATGGTCCCCCAATGCCCTGCCAGGAGTGATCCCTGAGCACCGCAGGGTGTGACCCAAACATTTAAAAAAAATAACTAATCAGGAGAAACTGGACAGTGAAGTAAAGACGGTGAAGTTTTGTTTTTGTTGTTTTGTTTTTTGGGGTGCCACACCTGGCAATGCTCAGGGGTTACTCCTGGCTCTGGGGACCGTGTGAGATGCAGACACTGGAACCCAGGCGGGCACGTGCAAGACAAACACCCTCCCCACTATGCCCCTCCACTCAGGTTTCCTTTGCAAGTTCTGGAGCAGGGAGACACTGCAGGCTGGCCCAGAATGGAGCCCCCCATGCATCCATCCTTTGAGTAGGAAGGTACAAAGTGCTCATCTCAGCGGGCAGCGTATGCTCAGCCCCCCAGCGGGCATGGGCTGGCACGTCACGTGAATGTCGCTCCTTTGTTCCAGTTAGCTTACATGGGATTTCTCCGAAGCCACCCCGCGTGGGGCTTTCTCCCGAGGTGAAAGCGTCGCAGCTGATGGTGTCTGACACTCCTTCCCCGGACTGCTCCTGCGAGAGCTTCCGGGCAGTGGGGGCAGCCTTCTCGGCCACAGTGGCACCAGGTAAGGTCCATCAGCCTCCGTTCCTGTGTCCGCCAGGAACCTCCTGGCAGCCTTAGGGTGAGCCAGTGCCACTGCAGGGCCTTTGCCTATTCGCCTGCCTGCAAAGCAGCGGTAGGGGTTACTTTGGTTTTGATTTTTTTGAGCCATATGTAGTTGTGCTCAGGGGTAAGACTCCTGCACACAGTCTCCCTGCTTCCTTTCCCCAGCCTGAAACTGACCTGTTTATTTATTTGCTTTTTGGGCCACACCTGGCGATGCTCAGGGGTTACTCCTGGCTTTGCACTCAGGAATTACTCCTGGTGGTGCTCAAGGAACCATATGGGATGCCGGAGACCGAACCTGGGTTGGCTGCGTGCAAGGCAAATGCCCTACCCGCTGTGCTATAACTCCAGGCCCCTGAAACTGACCTGTTTAAGATCAACAGTTTAAGGGGGAGTGATAGGACAGTGGGAAGGGCATTTGCCTTGTATGTGGCTCACCCAGGTTCGATCCCCGGCACCCCGTCTGTCCCCTGAGCCCTGCCAAGAGTGATGCCTGACATCAGGCCCAGGAGTCAGCCCTGAGCACTGCCAGTTGTTGCCCCAAAACAAAAACCAAATCAAGTCAACAATTGATGGGCTGTAGTGCCTGGACAGGGAGAGGCGTTCTCTTGGGAGATGTCCCTTGGGTCCCTCACACACCTGCTGGGAGCGATCCGTTAGTGAAGAGCCCAGAGCCGGCCCTGAGCACTGCCAGGAGGAAAAGCAGCAGGAGACTGAGCTGTGAAGGCCACTTCACTCAGCCATAGAAGATGCTAGAACAAGGCCCAGCCTACGCCCCCCCCCCCCCAGCCTCCTGGCAAAAGGCAGAATCACTGTGAGCTGGCAGGAGGCCCCGAGGGAGCCCTGTGCCTCCCTCAGGCTGCACCCGGGCTCCCGGCACCAGCTCGTACCAGCCAGCCCCCCCTGCCCCCTGCCCTGCCTCGTCCGACGCCAGCGCATCCCGAGGCAAAGGTTATCTCACCTGGGGCAGTGGGAAATGTCGCGGCGCGGGGGTCGGGCGGCAGCGGCGGCTGCAGGGCAGCAGGGGTAGGGGTATAAACGGGGGTCCGGGCGGCGGGGAGGCGCCGCCGCCGGGAAGCCGCCGCCCCGTCCGTTATGGCCCAGTGCCCGCTGCTGCTGCCGCTGCTGCTGCTGCCGCCGCTGCTGGCCGCCGACAGTCCGGCCGCGGACCCCGCCTGGGCGGTGCCTCCGCGGGCAGCCCCGGCGCGCCTGAAGTTGTGCGGCCGAGAGTTCGTGCGCGCCGTTATCTTCTCCTGCGGGGGCTCCCGCTGGCGCCGAGCCGGCCAGGGTGAGGCGGGGATGGGCTGGGTGCGAGGGAGGCCGGGGCACGCGTGTGGGGTCGGGTGGGGGGGGGCGGCGTCCAGGCCAGAGCTACAGTCCAGAGGCTGCCCCCAACCTCCCACCATGCATCTGCAGACAGGCGCGGTCCTTCGTCCTGCAGAATAACTGGGGCGCAGGGGTCGCGGGCCGGGGCGCACTGAGGCTCCCAGGTTCAGCGGCCATCCCTTAAGTGGACAGCATTTATCTGCGGGGGTCCCAGGTACCATCTGGGTCCCCCAGATACTGCTGGGATTGGCCCCAAATAAAACGACAGAAGGCTGGTGGGGGGCGGAGGGAAAGCGCGTGAGAGCAAAGTTTGAGACTTTGCAGACTTTGAGCTGACAGTCCTGGGTTTCATTCCAGCACTGAGGGGGGGGGGGGGGCTCAAGGGAAGGGGGGCAACTGACACTAGCCGTCACAGGGTGCCTCCCTTCAAAACCAGAAACGGATGAATACAAGGTCAGAGGAGCTAGAAACCAGGGGCTGCCCTGGACAAGGACTAGGGGTGCCGAGTGTAGGGCCCAACACTGATGCTCCCCACTTGCAGGCAACGCCTTCCCAGACTCAAACTTCAATGCGGATGACAGCCTGGACGTCGCCTCCAGCGAGTGGCTCTCCTTCACCCTGGCCAAGGACCCCCAGGACCCCTACAGGGGTCAGCGCGGCTGGCAGGGGGCCCCTGGGGTCCCGCGGGTCACCCGGGATATCCCAACTGGGCTTTCCAGCTACTGTTGCAAACTGGGGTGCAGCAAAACTGAGATCAGCAGACTCTGCTAGAGGGGGACCCCCCTGCCCGCTGCTGCCCTCCAAACTCCCCAGCATCCCTAGTGACCGCTGCCAGCCTGCCCTTCTGCCCTCTGATCCTGTCCTCCTCTCTCCCCAGCCCGTCTGGGCACCACCCCCCAGGGCCCCCCAGACATGCCCCCTGCCCACGAAGCAGCCGCTGTGACCCCCAAGTTGTGACCCTCCCTCCTCTGCCTTCCAGTCCATCCCCCCACTCCCCTAAAGGCCGGCTGGATGGCGGGATCCCTTTGGGTCTTGCAAGGAAGCTGGGCGGGGCGAAGGCACCTGAACCTCCCCGACCCCCCCCCCATAATAAAACTTCAAAGTTCTAAAATGCCTGGCAACTTGTGTGTCTCTTGGGGGGTTGGGGGTGCGGATGCAGGTTCCGGGAGGGCCCTTCCCGCCTCCCTCCCTCCCTCCCTCCTCTTGGGGACTTTCCGTGTCTGGGGGGAAGGGGCGGGCCGGGCGCCCGCTTTGCTTCCCTGACTGCGCGCGAGCAAACGGGCCGAGAACCAAACGGTCCGGGGGCGCCATGCGGGGGGCTCCAGAGGACCCCTGCCACCCGCTGGCGCTGCTGCCGGTGCTCTGGTTACTGACCCGCGCGGCGCGTCTCCACGGTGAGTTCGGGGGGCGCCGTGAGGCCCCTCCCCTCAACCTCACCCCCACCCCGCAGAGCCTGACCGCAGCAAGGTGCAGGCTGAAGGACCCAGGTGGGGGGTTCGCCAGTGCTGTCGCGCCCTCAGGGGCTGGGGGTGGGCGCCCCGTTGGGTACAGAATGTTAGCACAGAGGGGCAGCGGGTCCTGCCCAGAGCCCGGGTGGGGGTGGCCAGTGCCCGCTTCCACAGGGGACTCCAGAACGTGTTGGGTCGGAGGTGGGGGGGAAGTTGGGGTTCCAGGCGAAGCCCCTGCAAGAGCTCTTGGGGGGGACCCTCTACCTCCCTCCACAGGCAGCCTGGACCCCCTGCAATGTTACTGTGTTGGGCTGTGGGGGGACCTGAACTGCTCCTGGGGTGGTCTTGGGGACCAGGAAGTACCATCCACCCTGCACCTGGAGAGCCAGAAGTAGTGAGTACTTTGGAGCATGCGGGGTGAGGGGTGGGCTGCCAGGACCCTTGGTCCTCGCCCCCTGCCTCCCAGCCCTCTGCTGCTTCATTATTGTTATTTTGGTGGTTGGGTCCCAGCTGTGCTCAGGGCGGACCCAGTTCTCTCTCCCGGTGCAGGGGAGAAGACCCCCGCTGGTTCCTTTGTCAGGCCCACACCCCACCCCCACCCCATGCTGCTCTCTGAGCTGCGCATCAGAGAGGTTGAGTCACTTACTTGGGCACACACAGCCTCACAGCCTTGTGGCACTGCTCAGGGCACCCCCCCATGTCTCCTCAGCCACCCCAACAGGACCTGGACAGTGGCAGTGCCCCCAGGGCAGGGCTGGGTGACCCTGGCCCGGGAATACCTCACCGCGTCTGACCAGCTCCTCGTCTGGGGGGCCATGGGGGGCCGACGCCTCTGGCCCCCGGTCCTGGTGAACCTGGAGAGCCGAAGTAAGAGGCAGACGCGGGGGGCTGTGGGGGACTCCCGGGCCGTGGGTGGTTGCTGCAGGGGCTCTCCCGATCCCAGTGAAGCCGGACGCGCCCATCCTGGACCCTGCCGTGGATTTTCCCGAGGAGGCGCCCGGGGAGGCGAGGATCACGTGGCGCCCGCCTGCCTGGCCGCGGCACAAGCACCTGGTCTGCAGGTTCTACTATCGGCGAGGCCAGGAAAACACCTGGACCCAGGCGAGTGGACACTCCACCCTGTTCTGAACATCACCCCTCCATCCGAAACCCCCCAAGGTCTGCCCTTGACCCTGGAAAAGTTTGCCAAGACTGAGCCACAACGCTCCTTCTTGTCCCCGCTGCCCCGTCTCCCATCCTGCGTGTCTCCAAACCACGCGGGATGGCAGGAACACGGTCAGGACAGATGAACGGATGGACAGACAGATGGACAGACAGTGGCCCTCAGACCAGAGTGCACCTCCCACACAGCGCTGCCCAGCCTCCTGGAATCCTTTGTCTCTCTTGTTTGGGTCTTTCTTTGCTCGGGGGCCAAATCTGGCGGGGCTTAGGGTCCTTCCTGGCTCCCAGGGCATGGGGACACGCCTGGCTCCCTCATCAGATGTCTGATGCCACACCCGGGCCTTGTACCCAAGAAGAACCTGAGCACTTTTTTTTTTTCTTTTTGGGTCACACCCTGTGATGCTCAGGGGTTACTCCTGACTGTGCACTCAGGAATTACTCCTGGCGGTGCTGGGGGGACCATATGGGATGCTGGGGATTAAACCCAGGTTGGCGTGTACAAGGCAATCGCCCTACTCACTGTGCTATCTATCTGGCCCCTGAGCACTTCTTTTTTTTTCTTTTCGGGTCCCACCCAGAGGTGCTCAGGGCTAACTCAGGGCTCTGTACTCAGGAGCCATGCCCCGCCACTGTACTAGGGCTCCGACCCCAACCCTGAGGACTTCTTTTTTTTTTTTGTTTTTTGGGCCACACCCGGCGATGCTCAGGGGTTACTCCTGGCTCTGCACTCAAGAATCACTCCTGGCAGTGCTTGGGGGACCATATGGGATGCTGGGAATTGAACCCGAGTCAGTGTCGTGCAAGGCAAACGCCCTACCCACTGTGCTATCGCCCCAGCCCCTCCTGAGCACTTCTTTCCTTGCACGTGGCTGACCAGGTGGTGATTCCAGCACCCCATAGGGTGCCCCAAGCCCGCCAGGAGTGACCCCTGAGCACTGCTGGCTGTCACCCCAGACACACGCAACAAAATCAAACTCTGTGCTCAGTACTGGGCCTCTTGCCCGTGTCTCCCCAGCTGGACCTGGAGCTGGGGTCCACCGCTCTGAGCCCTCTGGAACTCCAGGACCTGCAGCCGGTCACGACCTACGAAGTGCATGGCCAGTGCCGCGTGGAAACCGAGGAGGACCTTTGGGGCGAGCTGAGCCCTATTCTCTCCTTCCAGACGCTGCCACCCGGTGAGGGGCTTGGGGTGCCCTCAGCCTTCAGCGTATCCTACCCGGAGACCCCCCCCATCTGACCCTCCTCTCTTCTCTCTCTTCACCAGCTCCAGAGGAGGTGTGGATTCTGGGGCATGGCTGCGGGTCGCTGGACGCACAGGACCCCATGCTTCTGTGGAAGGTGAGCTGAGGGTTCCTGCGATACAGGCACGACCGTCAGTGTGTGTGTGTGTGTGTGTGTGTGTGTGTGTGTGTGTTGCTGAGAATCAAACCCAGGGTCTCACATACACGAGGCGACATCTCTGCCCACTGAGAAACCATCTCCCCAGCGCTTTCTGGCAGATTTGAACCAAGACATGAGTATTCAGGGGCCCGAGAAATACTCCAGGGGCCAAACCATAACACAGCGGGGAGGGCACTGGCCTTGCACTCAGCTGCCCCGGGTTCAAGCCTGGCAACTCCATAGGGTGCCATGAGCCCACCAGGAGTGAGGCCTGAGTGCAGAGTCACCAGTAAGTCCTGAGCACCGCCGAGTATGACCCAAAAAACAAACAACAAAAATGCAGTAGTCAGGGCTGGAGCGATAGCACAGCGGGTAGGGCATTTGCCTTGCACGTGGTTGACCCGGGTTTGATTCCCAGCATCCCATATGTTCCCACGAGGACCGCCAGGAGTAATTCTTGAGTGCAGGGCCAGGAGGAACCCCTATGCATTGCTGGGTGTGTCCCAAAAAGCCTTCCCCCCAAAATGCAATAGTCTCAGGGTCCAGAACAATACAAGGACAGGGAGGGTGTTTGCCTTGCACACGGCTGACCCCAGTTCGATTCCAGGCATTTCATACAGTCTCTGAACACCACCAAGAGTAATTTCTGGGCTCAGAGCGCAGTAATTCCTAAGCCCTGAGGATTGCTGGGTGTGACCCCAAGCAGGAGGTAGTCTAGGGATTAAAGTGTTTGCCCCGCATGTGGGTGAGCCTGGTTCAATCCCCAACACACATACAGTCCCCAGAGTACACGGGGATGACCTGAGTGTGGAGAAGGAGCAAGCCCTGAGTGCAGCTGGGCGCGGCCCAGAACATAAAGCAGGATAGAGATGGATAAAGATGGAGATGGAGATGGATAGAGATGGATAAAGGGTAAAGATGGAGTCGGGGGGATGGCGCAGGAGCTGTGGCATGAACTTGACGCACACTTTGCCTGTGGGGTCTCAAGGCTCCATTCTGACGTGGCTGAGTTCCCCTGAGAGCTGCCAGGTGACATCCCCCTGATGCCCAGCAGTGCTGGACGTGGTACAGGGAAACAACATTTAGAGAGAGTGAAAGAACAACCCCTCCGAAGTCTTTTCATTTATTTATAAAAAGTTGTTTCCACGCTGGAGCCATCGCTCAGTGGGCTGGGTGGAGCCATGTCGTCTGAGAAAGGGCCCCTCGGGTCACCAGGTGTGACCCCGGGAAGAAAAGGAGAAAAAAAAGAAAGGGCCAGAGGGGGGGTTCTCTTGCATGAGTGTGGCTGTGAGTTGGGGTTCCCAGTGCCTCACATGACCCAGGGGCGATGCTGGCAGCCCCAGGGTCTGAGCGCTGGGACTGGGCAGTGCCCCTGAGGGGGCAGGGCTGGGTCCATCTTCTTGCCCTCCTCCCTCAGGCTCCGGCAAGCAGCGTGCAAACGAGCTATACAGTTTGGTACCAAGTGGAGGGCAAGCTGCTGAGCCAGAAGGGGGTCCCCTGCTGTCGCGCCCCTATCCCCACCACGGCCATGTCCGCAGGGGTGTCTCTCTCCAATGGGGTCACCAGCCCGGAGTCCAGGGCCAACCTCTCCTTGGGTTGTTCGGGTAAGAGGCGGGGCCTTTCCCTGCTGGGTGGGGCGGGGCTTTCCCCATTGGCCCGCTGAGACCTCCCCGTCCCGCCCCCAGCTCCAGGCTCCGCCCCCCAGGACGTGGTGCTCCGCCACGTGGCCAGGGGCAGTGGGCTCTTGGTGACTTGGCGTCGGGGCTCGGAGGCAGCCTGGGGATACGTGGTAGACTGGGTCCCGGACACAGACACCCCTGGGGAACTCAGCTGGGTCCGGCTTCCCCCCGAGAACCTCAGTGCCCTGTTGCCAGGTAAGAGTTGACAGGCTGGGATTGGGGGGGCGGGGACCCTCCCGCGCGGAGGCAACAGCTACAGAGTCGCTATGGGGGGCGAGTGGGAGGGGACAGAGAGATACAACCAGGGGAAAGGTGCTCGCGACCTGGGTCCGATTCCCAGCCTCACATGGCCCGTGGAGCACCGTCAGTGGGATCCCTGAGCACAGAGCCAGGAGTAGCCCCTGAGCACTGTAAGAGCACCTGCCCAGGGAGAATGGGGCAGGGGTGATGTTCATGGATCTTTGCTTTTCCTCCTGCCCAGGTCACTTCGAAGGAGGGGTCCCCTACCGGGTCACGGTCACTGCTGTCTCTGAGAGGGGCTTGGCCCCTGCCCCCTCCTTGTGGGCGTTCACCGAGGAACTAGGTTAGAGGTGGGGCTTCGGTCTGGGGGGCCCTGGAGCTCGACTGCCTGTGCAGCTGCTCACTGCTCCCCTCACCCCCTACCAGCACCCCTCAAGGGGCCCACACTGCGGAGACTCCAGGATGCTCCCCTCAGGACCCCCATCATAGCGTGGGACGAACTCCCAAGGCACCAGCTTCGGGGTCACCTCTCCCACTACACGCTGTGCACGCGGACAGGGACTGACGCCCCGGCCTGCAGCAATGGTGAGGTGCCCTGCGTCCGACCCCGGGACACCCCTTCAGCCAGCCCACCCGTTACCCTCCAAGCGTTTTTGTTATTGTTGTGTTTGGGGACCCACACCTAGTCGGGGGCTGACTCCTGGCTCTGCACTCAGGGATCCCTCCTGGCGGTGCTGGGGAACCCTACAGCATGCTGGGGATGGGACCCGGGTCGGCCGTGTGCAAAGCAAACACCTTCCCTCAGACCCAGTGACCCCACGTCTTGCACAGTGGGCTCAGTCATTCCCAGTCTCCCACAGGCCGGCTCCAGCCGAGTCCTTCTTGCTCTCCCAGACCCATACAGGCCTCCAGACCCTGCTACCTCTCCACCCCCCCCAGTCGCATCCCCAAATATTTGTTCTCGGGTTTGGGTGTTTGTTGGCTTGTTTGTTTCTGGGTCACACTCAGATGTGCTCAGTTGACTCCTGTCTCTGAGCTCAGGGTCTCTCCTGGTGAGCTCTCCGGGCATCGAACCCACATTGGCTGCATGAAAGGCCAGCGCCCTTCCGGCCCGCTGTGCTGCGGCTCACCCCTCACATCAGCTTCCCAAGGGTGTCCCCTTTCTCCCTCCCTGCCAGAACATGGGGGATTCTTATAGCTTCGAGAAATCCCAAGGCCCGTTCTCCCCTACTTTCCACGGGGATAGAGGCAAGATTCCACTCAGTACCCCCGAAGGAAGGAACCCCAGTGTCAAAGGAGCCTTTGGGAGAATGTTAAGTTACCACTGAGAAAGAGCCCAGTTCCCTCAGGCTCCTGCAGTACCCTCGGGCTCCCGACCCCCCACCCTCTTTGTAGACGACTGCTGGCTTGCACCCTAGGTAGCTCCGAATTCTTTATTTTATTTGGGGTTTTGGGTGTGTTGCCCCAAAGGGGGTTCAGGGAGTGCTGGAGCGTCACCCAAGAGGAAGGCAAGATCCTAAACCACTGAGCTATCTGCCCCATCTGCTCGAACCCCTTCATCAAACGTCCCGTGGTAAATACCATCACCCTCATTCTGAGGATGCCCCCTTCCCTGTTTCAGATGAAGGAGGTGGGGAATATAAGATTCTCTGTCCCCCACAAGTTTGGGTGAAGGAATCCGCTGTCAAATGAGGCTGCTTAGTTTGGTTGTTTAATTTTGTTTTTGGGGCCACACCAGGCGTTACTCCTGGCTGCAGGCCTAGTGGTGCTCAAACGACCATATCCAATGCTGGGGATTGAATCGGTGTAGCTCGCAGGCAAGGCAAGCTCCCTAACCTGACCGCTAGGCGTTGTTTGCTCTCCATTGCCAGAGGGTACTAACTTGATCCATAATTAACCTTGATGCAAACCCAAAAGGCTGGAAATCTCTTTTCCTGCAAACATGGGACACGCCACTATCACAGTGTTGCCGCAAGAGGGCTCTGCGGGGGCCCTCTGTCCCTCCCTGGCCCGAGTCTCTTTAACTTCCGCCCCTGGTCGTGACTTCCCTCCAGAACTCCTTGTAGCCCCCAGGTCCCTCAGATACCCGATCCTCGCCCACCGCCAAAGCTCACCACATTGACTGGCCGAACAGGTGACTCTAGCTTCTTTATTTTGGGGTGTGGGGTGTAGGTGACCAAAACACTTTTTGGGGGCTCAGGGAACCCTGAGTGGTTCCTGAGATCTAGCCCAGGTTGACCACCGGAGAGGATTGTGCCTTGTCCGCAGTACAAACTCCAAATCGACCCGCGTTCTTAAAGGTCTCTGGCATGAGCATCCACGTGCCCCATCACCCCACATTTCTGAGGCTGCCATCTTCCTCCCTCGCTGAGAGAGCTTTGGGGTTCCTATACATATGAGAAATCCCAAAATTCTTTTCTCCATGGAGGAAGGTGGCAGAGGCAAGATTCAGCTCAGCACCTCCAGAAATTTTGGGTGAAGGCACCTCCCTTATGGGAACTGTGGTGCATTAGAGGAGTGTTAAAAGTAAGTTTACTTACTTTTAAAGTAAAGGCCCTCCCGTTGTTTGTCGATTTGCTCGAGCGGGCCCAGTAACGTCTCCATTGGAGACTTCGTTGTTACTGTGTTTGGCATATCGAATACGTCAAGGGGAGCTTGCCAGGCTCTGCTGTGCGGGTGAGATACTCTCGGTAGCTTACCGGGCTCTCCGAGAGGGGCGGAGGAATCGAACTCAGGTCGGCCATGTTGGCTGTGTGCAAGGCAAACGCCCTACCGCTGTGCTATCGCTCCAGGGGAGTGTTAATTAACACAAAACCAATGAGAGTAGGATGGGGCAGTCTCCTTCCCTGGAAATACAAGCTACACCACTTCCACTGAGGATTTTTTATTTTATTTGGGGCTTCAGGATGGGTCAGTGGGGTTCTGGAGGCCATTATCAAAGCCTCATATTGCATCTCATTTGCTACAAGGAAGGCAAGTTACCATTTAAAAAATGATAATGATTATTATTATTTTTGCTTTTTGGGTCACACCTGGTGATGCACAGGGGTTACTCCTGGCTTTGCACTCAAGGGTAACTGCTCTGCACTGTTACTCCTTGCGGTGCTCAGGGGACCATATGACACACTGAGAATCGAACCCGGGTCGGCCGCATGCAAGGCAGACACCTTACCCACTGTGCTATTGCTCCAGCCACTTAAAAAATAATTGAATCGAAAAAATTTTGGTCCTCTTTCTCTTTGAACAAGGCAAGTTCCAAACCCAATGTGCTATCTCTCTCTGGCTGAACCCCTTTGTAAAAGTTTCCAGTTATAATGAACCCCACAACTCACCACCCCACATTTCCCTGTTCTTATGTGAAAGGGCTGTGGAAGCAAGATTCAACTTAATATCCCCAACTTTGTGGAAAAGGGAATCAGCTGTCATCAGAAGTGAGGCTACTTTGTTTTCTTTTTTTTTTTTTCTTTTTTTTTTCTTTCTTTGGGTCACACCCAGCGATGTACAGGAATTACTCCTGGCAGTACTCAGGGACACATATGGGATGCTGGGAATCGAACCCGGGTCGGCTGCATGCAAGGCAAACGGCCTATTCGCTGTACTATCACTCCAGCCGCGGTGAGTCTCGGGTGATCCTAACTCTGCAGTCAGGAATCTCTCCTGGCAGAACTGGGAGACTGCATGGGCAGCCTACAAACAAACCAGTGTCCTCTGAATGAAAGGCAAGAGCCCTAATCGCTGTGCTCCCCCTGCAGCGGTTAAACCTGCGAGCTTGATCCTTAATTACCCTATACTTAACACTGAAGCAAACCCAGGGGTGGAAATTTCTTAGAGAAACGGGCCTCCGGAGGGGGGGAAAACGCCCCACAGCGCCGCCTGGTGACGTTTAGGCGGAACCGCCGCGGCCTGACTTTCCCACGCTTAAGATTTCCAGCCCTTTTGTTTGCTTCAATGTTAAGTATAGGGTAATTAAGGATCAAGCACACTCCCTTCCGCCGCTGTAGCGGGAGCATAGCGGTTTGGGCTCTTGGCTTGCATTCAGGGGACCCTGGTTTGTTTGTAGGCTCCCCATACGGTCCCCCAGTCATGCCAGGAGTGATTCCTGGTGTAGAACAGGAGTACCACTTGTTCTACAGCTTCGCTGGGGGTGACCCCAAAATTACAAACAAAAAAGGCAGCCTCAGTCCCTTCCAGCTTGAGGGGTTCTGAGTTGTAACTTGCTTCCACACATGCTCCTTCTCATAGAACCGGCACCCTCAGAATTGTGGGGTGACGTGCTGTGGGATTGACCATAAGAGTAAACCTTTCCGAAGGGCTCAATCAGAGAGATAGCAAAGTGGGTTCAGAACTTTTCTTTCTTTTTTTTTATTAATTTTTATTAGTGAAACACCATTAGGTAAAGTTGTAGATTTACAAATTTCTGTGCTTGGGTTTCAATTATACAATGACAAATACCCATCCCTCCACCAGTGCCCATTTTCCACCACCATGGATCCCAGTATCCCTCCCACATCAGAACTTTTATTGCTCAAAGGGAAGATAACAAAAAAAACTGTCTTGCTTGTGGCAGACCAGGTTCAGTGCGCAGCACCCTTCATGATCCCTAGGAAAAAGGAGTGACCACCCCAAACCCTAAGAGGAGATTCAGCTATGTACCCCTCCAAAAGTTGGGATGGCAGGAATTGAACCCGTGGCCTCCCACGTGGAAGGCAAGCACCCGCCCCACTCTGCTTCCACTGCACTGGAGGAAGCTGCACGCTTCATCATTAATGACCCCATATTTAACATTGAAGCAAACAAAAGGACTGGAAATCTTAAGCGTGGGAAAGTCGGGCCACGGCAGTTCTACCAAAACGCCACGAGGTGGCGCTGTGGGTGTTCCAGTCCCTCCCCAGACCCGGTCCTCTAAGAAATTTCCACCCTTGGGTTTGCTTCAGTGTTAAGTATAGGGTAATTAAGGATCAAGCACGCAGCTTGATTTGGGTTTGATTTCCACCATCCTAACTTTTGGGGGTACATAGCTGAGTCTCCTCTGGGGGTTTGGGTGGGCACCCCAGTGTGGTTCTAGAATGCTGAGGATTGAACCTGGTCTGCCACGAGCAAGACAAAGATATTTCTTGTTGTTCTCTTTGCTTCAAGCAAGAAAAGTTCTGAACCCACTTTGCTATCTCTCTGACCGATCCCTTTGGAAAGGTTTACATCACGCCACATTCTGAGGGTGCCCCAATCCTGTTCTACAAGGAGGAGGGTGCATGGGAGCAAGATATCCCCCAAGGGTGAAGAGATCCACGATCCAGGGATTGAGGCTACTTTGTTTTTTGTTTGTTTGTGGTTTGGGGGACACACCCTTTGATGCTCAGGGAGTACTCCTGCTCTGCACACAGGATTCACTCCTGCTATGATTTGGGACCATATGGGGAGCCTACAAACAAACCAGAGTCCTGTGAATGCAAGGCAAGAGCCATAACCGATCTGCTCCCGCTGCATCGGTGGAAGGGGAGTGCTTGATCCTTAATTACCCCATACCTAACACTGAAGCAAAGAAAAGGGCTGGAAACCTTCAGCGTGGGAAAATCGGGCCGGGACAGTCCCGCCAAAACGCCACGCGACAGCGCTATGGGTCATTTTCATCACTCCCCAGTCCTGTTTCTCTATGAAATTTCTGCCCCTGGGTTTGCTTCAATGTTAACTATGGGGTCATTAAGGATCAAGCATGCAACCTGGGTCTTGCAGCGGTAGCAGAGCAGGGAAGGCGCTTAGCTTGTATTTCGCATTTCCACTGAAGATTATTTCCTTGTCCGGTAATAATGAACATTCTTTCCAAATCACCCCCGTTCCTTTGACCGTGTGTTCTTTCACACCAACTTCTGGGGTACCACATATAACTGAATTTTGCCTTTGTCATCCTTCTCCACAGAGAAGAGAGGACTTTGGGACTCTCTCTCTCTCTCTCTCTCTCTATATATATATATATATACATATATATATATATATATATGAAGCCCCAAATTTCTGGCGGGCAGGAAGGAACATGGCACTCTCAGAAATGTGGGGTGATGGGCATGAGGATGACCATGATATGAATCTTATAAGAGCGGGGATCTGGACAAGATAGTACTGCAGGGAAGGTACTTTCCTGACCTATGTCCAACCTGGGTTCGAACCCCCTCACATATAGGGTCCCCTGAGCCCTCCCAGAAGCTCTGCTGTGGCCATCCACCCCCCAAAATCCAGAAGCCAGAAACACTTGCTGGGCCAATCAGTGAGGTGGGCTGCGGCAGTGGGTGGGGGTTGGCTTCCCTCTGCAGAAATTCTGAGGGTCCTGGGGAGCTATGACAGGTTCTGGAGGGAGGTCAGGACCAGGGGAGAACACTTCTTAGAGAAGCGCCCCTGGGGAGTGATGGAAACGCCCCAGAGCGCCCTCTTGTGGTAGCACGGTGGAAGTGATGGAGTTCCCCAAGATTTCCAGCCATGGGGTTTGCTAAAGGGCTGGAAACCTTAAGCGTGGGAAAATAGGGCCCCAATGTTAACCATGGGTCATTAAGGATCAAGTCCACAGCCTCTGGTCATGCAGGAGTAGCAGAGCGGGGAGGGCTCTTTCCGTTCATGCAAGCCACCTGGTTCAATACCTGCCATCCCAAATTTTTGGGGGGTACACAGCTGAATTTCCTCTGGGTTTTGGGGTGGATCACCCCAGCGTGGTTCTAGGGACCATGAGGGGTGCTGAGTGCTGAGGATTGAACCTGGTCTGCCACAAGCAAGACAAGGTTGGTTTTTGTTCTCTGCGCTTTGAGCTAGAAAAGTTCTGAACCCACTTTACTCTCTCTCTGACGGAGCCCTTTGGAAAGGTTTACTGTTATGGTCAATCCCACAATCTCCCCACATTCTTTTTTTTTTTTTTTTTGCTTTTTGGGTCACACCTGGCGATGCACAGGGGCTTCTCCTGGCTCTGCACTCAGGAGTTACTCCTGGCAGTGCTCAGGGGACCATATGGAATGCTGGGAATCGAACCTGGGTCGGCCGCGTGCAAAGCAAACGCCCTATCCGCTGTGCTATCTCTCCAGCACCCCTTCTCCACATTTTGAGGGTGCCCCAACCTGTTCTACAAGAAGAAGGGGACACAGAAGCAAGATACAGCCCAGAACGCCCCCAAACTGGGGTGAGGGGATCCACCATCAAGGGACTGAGGCTGCTCTTTTGTTTGTTTATGGTTTGGGGGGCCACACCCGGCAGTGCTCAGTGGTGACTCCTGGCTCTGCACTCAGTAGTCACTCCTGGCATAACTGGGGGACCCTATGCAGAGCCTATGAACTATCCTGTCTCCTGTGAATGCAAAGCAAGAGCTCTACCTGTTCTGTATTTGCTCCACGAGTATAGAGCGGGTCACTGAGTGAAAACCTCTGGGAGATGAGGAGGGAGGTGAGGAGGCTGCCCTGTTGCAGAAAGCAACTACGCCCTCAGCTGGCGACCATCTCTGCAAGCCCTGTGAATGTTCCTACCTACAGTGAGTGGCAGTACCCGGAGTCTCCCACTACCCAGCCTTTCCTGGGGTCCGTGCGAGCTGTGGATGACGGCGTCCACCCGAGTAGGACAGGGCCCCCCTGGCCCCAGCCTTCGGTTTTACCTGCCAGGTAAGTGGGGCTATGAGGTGGGGGGCCTGCTGCATTGAAAGGGGTTATGCAATAGCCCAGGGTTTCGAATTGGGGGTCACATTCACGGTGCGTCTGGGGTTCTTTTGGGCTCCCTAAACATCGCCCCTCTATTGAAGGGGCCTCCCCACTCCCGGGATGCCCCGCCTAGCCACGCCCACAGCAGTCACGCCCATGGGCCCGCCTCCTGAGCCTCAGCCCCGCCCACTAAGGCTCTTTAACCAGTGACTGTTCTAGTCACAGGCTTCACCCCACCCACCAACACTGGCCCCGCCCTTCTAAGCCCCGCCCCTTCTTGCGCCCCTGCCGCCCCGCGCAGAAAACGCCCCAGCGGCGTGGAAAGTGGTGCTGGTTCTCCTCGCCTCCTGCAGCGTGTTCCTGCTGGGCCTGCTCTTCTGCAGAAGGTGAGGCCGCAGATGCGGGGTGGCAACCGGGTTGGTGGACATGCCTGGGAGCGTGGCCAGGGGTGGGCTCCCGGTGCTGTGACGCCCGCAGACAAACCCGCAGCCTGGGCACGGCTGTGTGGCCACTGGGACCCCAGCCCTGACTCTTCCCGCTTTGCCAGGTGCTCGCAGCGGGTGTGGGAGAAGACTCCAGATCCTGCCAACAGCAGTTTCTACTTCCGCCAGCCCCATGTTCAGGTGAGCAGAAGGGTGGCTGGTGGGGTCTCGCGGGATGCTGGGGAGTCAGGAATGCAGGGAACTTGGGGGGCCGGAGCGGGCATAGCACTTGCCTTGCAGGCAATCAGCCCAGCTGTACCCGCTGCACCCCGTATGGTCTCCCCAGTCCTCCAGGAATGACACCTGAGTGCAGAGCCAGCATTACCCCTGAGCGCAGCGGGGGTGGCCCCCAAACCAAAAAGAAAAGAATTTCCTTCTGTTCCTTGTCAGGAGCCGCCCTACGCCCAACCCCCTGGGGACTTGCCTTTCCTGAAAGTGGAGGAGATGGAGCCACCAGCGCCCCCCAGCCCCCCCAAGGCCTCCCGTCTGCTGGATACTGGGTATGAGAAACATTTCCTACCCACACCTGAGGCACTGGGCCTCCTGCCCCCGTGTTCCCCAGGCTCCCGGGCTGAGCCTGAACCAGCCTCGTCCAGGGAGAGGGATGTTCAGTGGACAGATGAAGATGCTGAGGATCAGAGAAGCTGAGACAGTTGCCTGAGGACACACAGGGAGATGCTGAGAGGGATGGCTCCCCAGAGAGAAGGCATCTGCTCTGGAGGGCTGAGGGAGTCCCTGCAGCCGCCTCCCAGTCTAGAAGCCTCACTGGGAACATCGCCACCATGCTTGCAGCTAGGGATGACCCCTGGACGGTTCTGCCAATGGGAATTGAGCCGAGGTGACTTGAATCAATGACGATGAGATGGGGGCGGGGCACCGGAGTCTCCTCTCCCGTCAGCTGGAACAGCAGAGTGGCCTCCCGCTCTAACTGTGTATGTGATAAGAAATGGGCCCCAGAACCAAAAGAATAAGGGGAAAAGGGTCTGCCGGGGCAGCTGTACAGAGGGGAGGGCGCCGGCCCTGCACGCAGCCAACTGGGGTTTGATCCCCGGCATCCCATATGATCCTGTGGACCCACCAGGAGTGAGCCCTGGGCACAGAGCCAGGCGTCAGCCCTGTGCACAGAGCCGGGAGATAGCCCTGAGCACAGAGCCGGGAGTCAGCCCTGAGCACAGAGCCAGGCGTCAGCCCTGTGCACAGAGCCGGGAGATAGCCCTGAGCACAGAGCCAGGCGTCAGCCCTGTGCACAGAGCCAAGAGTCAGCCCTGAGCAAACCCAGTGTGCACCCCCCCCCCCCCCGCATTAAAGGAATCTGAGTCCCCAAGTGCCTTCCCCAGAGGAGTGTATCTTTATGGCCACAAAAGGAACTGAGCCCTAAGGCCCTGCCAGCCCAAGTCACACTCTGGGCTCCCAAAGGAAAAATAAATCTCAACCTATCGGCCTAACAGGCTGAACATACGCTTCGTGCCTCAGACCCCTGGTTTGAACTGTGTCCCACCCCCCGTCCCACATCACCAGCAGGGTCGACTTCTGAGCACTGATGGCTGGTCTGCCCTCCTCGTGAGAAACACGGGCAGTGCTGAGGGACCCCATGGCATTGCGGGGATCGAACCCAGGTCAGCTGCATGCAAGGCACACCCCGCCCAAGAAAAAAACGCTCTTGATCTTTCTTAAAACAAAAGTCCTGCGGTCTGATGCCTCATCAGTGCCCCAAGCGCTGAAGTGAGTCCCCCACAGTGGCCACAACCCCCCCCCCCCGTAGGCTCCAGCCACATCAGCCCCTCACCCCCCACCCACGACAGCGACTCACGTGGCCAAGTGCTGCTCTTGAGTGCTTGAAGGTTTTATTTTTCAAGTATGAAGGCTTGGTCGCCCACGGGGGCCAGGGTCACAGGCAGCAGCGGGGATCCTGAAGCCCAGGTGGAGGGGTGGGGCGGGCAGGGCCCGTGGGTCCCATCTGTGCCCGGGACCCTCTGCTGGGTGCCAAGCGGCCGAGGTAGGTGTGAGAGAGCCTGGCGCGGGGAGCAGGGCCTGGGCTCACATAACCGCACAACACTGGCACGTTTTCTGCTTTGGAGCACTGGTCTCGGAGGCCTCCGGAGCAGCAGCGGAGGGCAGGGGCTGGCGGGCAGGGGCATAGCTGGGCACAGGGTGGGCACTGGGGTTGGTCCTGGGCCCCTTGGCCTGCAGCAGCGGCTGGCACTCTGGGGGCTGCTCTGCTGGGGCTGGGGTCACCTCCACAAGGGGCGCGGCATTGCCCGAGGGGCTCGGGCCCTCAGCTGGGGTCTGGGGTGTCCCTGAGGCCGTTTCCACCTCCAGGCAGTCCTCCGTGGTCTTCTGGGGTGGCTGGGCTTCCATTTCCTGGGTGGGCTCTTCCCTGGCCCTCAGGGCAGCCCCTGCCTCTGCCTCCTCGGTGGGCCCCTCCAGCCCTTCCCCAGGGGCTCTCTGTCCTGCACTGATGTCCTTCTCCACCTCGGGGGTCGCTTCCGACTGGGAAACAGCCCTGGCTCCGCTAGTCTCTGCCTGCATCTGCATCGATTCCTCACCTCCTTCGCTGGCTTCTTTCAATAGCTCCTCACCTCCTCCTCTGTCTGCTTTGGGTGACTCCTCCCCTTCCTCTCTCTGTGCCTTCAGGGCTTCCTCACCTCCTTTGCAAGCTACTTTCAAAGATTCCTCACCTCGGACTCTCTCGGCTTTGGGTGACTCCTCACCTGCTTTGCTTGCTCCTTCCAATACTTCCTCACCTCCTCCCCTGCGTTCCTGCGGTAACTCCTCACCTCCTTCTCTTGCTACTCTGATTAATTCCTCACCTCCTTCTTTCGCTACTTCCAGTAATTCCTCACCTCCTGCTCTGCCTGACTGCAATAATTCCTCACCTCCTCCTCTTGCTCCTTCCAATAATTCCTCACCTCCTTCCCTGCTTCCCAGCGATAATTCCTCACCTCCTTTTGCTACTTCCAATAATTCCTCACCTCCTCCTCTTGCTCCTCCCAATAATTCCTCACCTCCTTCCCTGCCTACCTGCGATGGGTCCTCACCTCCTTCTCCCTCGGGCACTCCTGGGGACCCCCCTGCCGCATCTCCCCTTTCTTCACCTCCTGCGGCCTCTGCTGCCCGAGTCTCCTCCCCTCCCCTCTCTGGGCCACCAACAACTTTGTCCCTGCTCCCCTTGGCCATGAGTGCTCCTTCACCCCTGCTGGCCTCCTCCAGGACACCCTCACCTCCTCCCGGTGCTCCACGCTCCTCCGCCTGTCTCCGCTCCAGCTCCCAACTGGCCGCGCCCCCGCTGTCTCGCGGCCCCTCAGTCCCCTCCAGCCCCAGCTCCTCCCAGTCCTCAGCGACGGTCACTCTCTCCACCCAGATGAAGGTGCCGTCCTCGCCCCCACGGCCCCCCTGCCCCGCCCCGTCAGGGCTACCCCTTCTCGAGCCTTCAGGGAGGCTGGGTGGTGCCGGGGGGTCCCTGCCTGGCTCCCCCCGGACCTCCAAGTCCCCTCCGACCCCCTCCCAGACAACCTCAACGACAGCCCGGTCATCCCTCACCCAGGCCGGGAGGTCGGGCCTGCCCACGTCCAGCCTCTCCCCGATGGCCTCCAGCACCATGGCCTCCACCCTGGCCTCCAGCTCGGCGCCCGTGGGCTCCCCGGGACTGTCCTCCGTGGCCCTCAGGCCCTCCCACACCACCTCCACGACACCCACGCCACTGTCCTCGCCCTTGGCTGCCCCCTCTACAGCCGGCACAGAGCTGGACTCCAGGCCGGGGCCATTGGCTTCTGCAGACACTCCCGCTGCCCTGGGCACCTGTCCTGGCCCAGGGGGGCACTCTGGGGGCGTGCCCGCCAGTCCAGCTGGCAAGGAGGCACGCTTGTCCTGGTCAGCCTGGCCTGGGGGGGGGGGTTCAGGAGAGAGACAGGACAACAGGGTGAGGGGGAGCCCCGAGGTACCTTCCCTGGGACCCCCGGGGCTGAGGGGTTCAGACACGCACCTGCAGGGGCCGGCTCCATAGGGGGCTGCGAGAGAGGACGCTGGCCCTGCGGGAAGGGCAGTGTCCAGGTCAGGGGCACCCAGGTCCCCCCGACACACCATCGGACCCTCACAGACCCCTCAGCACCCCCAGCAGCGCTTCCTGGACACAGACTGATCCCAGGGGGCTTTGCCCCGCCAGCTGCCCTGGTGACCAGGCCAGGGGCTATGAAAACTTCCATTCCAGCAGGCAAAGGCAGTGAACACAGATCTAGGCAAGGAAATAGATCCCGTCCAGGAGCAAGAAGGGTCTGGGAGGAAACGGGAAGCAGGTGGGGGGCGCTGGGGGGCCTCCCAGAGGTCTAAGGAGCAGGGGGGCTTCCTGGAGGAGGTGGCATGGCACAGGGAGAGACCAGAAGACAGCCGGGGGGCGGGGACACAGGCTTCAAAAGCAGGAGGCCCAGTGTGGCATGGTCATCTGAGCATTACCGGGAGCAACTCCTGAACACAGAGTAAGGCTCCAACTCTTGGCCCAAACCCCTGCCCCCAAAAAATAAAAAATAAAACAAAAAACCAGGGGCCTGAGAGCTGGTATAGTGGCTAAGATGCTTCCCCTTGCACTGCTGGGCTGATTCCAATCCTGCTAGCACGGGGTCCTGATCACTGTCTGGGATGACCCCTGAGTGCAGAGCCATGAGTTGTCCAAAGACAAAAACACAAACCAGGGACTGGAGTGGCACAGCAGGGAGGGTGTTTGCCTTGCACTCAGTCAACCCGGGTTTGATTCGCAGCATCCCATACGGTCCCTTGAGCACCACCAGGGGTAATTCCTGAGTGCAGAGCCAGGAGTAACCCCTGTGCATCACCAGGTGTGATGCAAAAAGCAAAAAAAAAAAAAAAAAATCCGCAAACCAAAACCCAACCGCACCAAACATGCAGAGTGAGTCTGTAGGAGGGAAGGTGTCACCCACCCACGCACGGGTTCAAATTCCAGAACTTCACAGGGTCCCCTGAGCACCACCCAGGGTCTTTCATGAGCACAGAGCCAGGAGTAACCCCTAAGCATGGTCAGGTATGGCCCAACCCCACCTAAATAAACAGAAATAAGTGGAGACAGCTGAGAATGTGGCGCTCGCGGGCTCTCAGGCCTGCATCGGATGGATGCTACGCCATAAAGTGGACCCGAAACAGAAGCCCAAACCCACACGCAAGGCCAGAGCCACAAGACAGCAGAGACGGCATATGCCTTGCCCATGGCCAACTCGCCTTCAATCCCCGACATCGCATCAGGTCCCCTGAGCCCCACCAGGAATGGTTCCTGAGCTCAGAGCCTGGAGTAACCCCCGAGCACCACAGGGTGTGACCCCAAAACCAAAAATAAATACATTAATAAAAAAAAAAACTGCGTTCCTGCCCCAAGCTGCAGGACACTAGGCCTGCATCTCTTTCCCTTAGGGTCTCTCAGGGGGGCGGGGGCCTTAGGGGTCCTGAAGGTCCCGGGATGGAACCCGGCTCTCCCTTTAGGCCGTCTCGGCCACCAGCTGTAACCCACCTGCGGAAGCCCAAGCCGCTGGGTGCTTCCAGATCCCCCCACTGCCTGGCGGGGCCCTCAGCGCTCAGCGACTGGGGAAAGGGAGGTCTGAGGGAAGAAACTGATGCAGAGGCAGAGAAGCAGCACCGCCCCCGGCCCCGGTAGGGGGCTGGCCTGGACCCCCAAGCCACACCCCTCCCCCAGCTCCCCACTCACCTGTCGGCGCCAGATGGGTCTGCTCCCGGGCCTGTGCAGTGCCCCTGTGGACGCACTCTGCAACAGCTGCAGCTGGGCCTGGAGACTGGGCAAGAAGAGGGGTTGGGCCCCCGGCTCCACCGACACCCCCAGTCTCCCACAGTTGGTCTGCTTGGATTTTGGGGGGCTCACACCCGGCAGTGCTCCGGCCCCCCTTCCCCCCCTCCACCCTCGCTGGGCAGAGCCAGCGGGCAGGGAGCGCAACTCACGTGAACAAGCTGTCCTCTAGGCTCTGGATGCGGGCCTGAGCCTGAGACTCAGGGGTCGGGGGGTCCTCCGGCCCCTCTGGCTCCTCAGCTGCCCCCTCCATAAGCCACCGGTCCCGGAGAGTCTTTCTCTGGACATGGAAGGCAGCCCAGCTGGGCATATCGGCGCCCCAGCCCCCATACCACACAGGTGGACATTTCTCCCGGGCCGCAAAAATCACCCCTCACATCTCCATCCTTCCGCAATGGGACGGACACCCCTAAAGGGGACAGAAGTGTCCCCATGGGCCCCTGGCCGCGCTGGGCTAACATCTGCGGAGCCTCCATCCTCTTCCCAAACATGAATCGATGACCCCCCCATCCCCGCCAAATTTGCAAGCAATGTCCCCAGCTGTTCCCCCACCGGACAGCGGCTCGGATGCGCTCGCCCCGGACCCGCTCTCGCGGAGATGCCCCGCGCCCCGCTCGTCCCGCACCTTGAGCCGCTGCACGCGAAGCTTCTCCTCCTCCAGCTCGCGCCGCGCCGCCCGGATCGCCTCCTGCAGCCGCCGCTTCTCCTGCGCACAGACCCCCGAGCTGCCTGCGAGCGGGGCGAGGTGGCCCGGTCCCCCGCGGGCTCGGCGGGGGGTGCACCCGGGCCGGGGCTGCGGAGCGCGGGGCGCGGGGCGCACGTCGGGGTTGGGGCGGGGCGCTGACTCAGCAGCAGGCGGGGGCGTGGTCGCGCGCGGGAGGCGGGGTCAGAGGGCGTGGTCTTTCCCGGGTGTTGTTTGTGGGCGTGGTCATGGGCGGGACGGGGCAGGGGCGGGTGGGCGGGGCCCGGATGGGGGGCGGGCCCTGCGGTAAGGATGCTGCAGACTAGGTTAGCTCCCACCTGGGTCTGTGGGTTAAGTGCTGGGCAGGGGAGGGAGGGCTGGAAATGGGGGTCAGAGAGGAGATCCAGAGCTATGGGGCTGGAAGACCAGAGCTGTAGGGGCTTAAGGAAAAGAGGATTCAGATCTAGAGATGAAAGGAAGGGACGGGACCGGAGAGTAGGGAGAGATTTTGTGTTGCAAGCGGCTGACTCGGGTCCGATCCCTGGCATCCCACAGGGTCCCCCGAGCTTCAGCAGGAGTAATATCTGAGTGTGGAGCCAGGAGTGACTCCTGAGAACCCAAAAAGAAAAAAAAGAAAAAAAAGGAGGAAGAAGAAGGAAGAAGAAGGAGGAGGAGGAGGAGGAGAGAGAGAAGAAGGAGAAGAGGGAGGAGAAGAAGGAGGAGGAGAAAAAGGAGAAGGAGGAGGAGGAGGAGGAGGAGAAGAAGAAGAAGAAGAAGAAGAAGAAGAAGAAGAAGAAGAAGAAGAAGAAGAAGAAGAAGAAGAAGAAGAAAAGAAAAAAATAGAAAGGAAGGAAGGAAGGAAGGAAGGAAGGAAGGAAGGAAGGAAGGAAGGGAAAGGGCAGTCTTGGGAACGGGGCGAGAGATTGGAATGGGGTCCAATAAGATGGAGTCCAAAATTGCAAGCGAAAAGTGGGCCAGATAGTTAAGCCAGTGGGAAGGGTGTTTTTCTTGCCTCCTGTTTGACCCCAGCACCTCAAATCATTCCAATGAGCCCCCCAGACCAGAAACCAGGAATAAGCCCTGAGCACCGCGGGGCGTGGCCTCAAAAATCAAATGTAGAAACCAGATCATTGGAGTGGGCACGAGAACTGGGGCAAGTGCCATAGTGGGGGCCCTGAGAGAAAGGCTGCAGAGACTGGACCTCCAAAGTTGGGGGTTCATGGGCACAGGTGCCCAAGGATGGGGGTTTCACAGCCAAGAGGGTAAAGACGTGGAAGTTCAAAGGACGGGGGTTCAGAGAAATGAGAAGTTAGAGATGGAGTTAAGACGGGATGTGTGGGAGGAACCGGGCAATTGGCGCGCGGGAGCCGCCCCCTTTGCATTCCGGGGTGTCCAGAGAAAGACACAGCCAGGGAGTGCCGGTCGCTCCGGGGAACAGCAGCACTTACCGCGATAACCTCTAGCCGCTGTCGGTAGAGGGCGCTCTCGGCCATCGGCCTGAAGGGAAGGGGCAGGGCCTGAGCGGGGTTATTGAGGCCCGGGTCTCAGCACCCGGGTCACAGCCCCTCAGGGCCCGCGAGCCTCTCCCAGCTGGAAACTGCATTTCGTAGCCTGATACTCTCAACCTAATAAGCCCACCCCAGGTCTTACCCTTTCCAGCCATCCTGTGTGCTGTGTGTCTCTTTCTATAAGCCCACCCTCTCTGGACCGCTGCACTAGCGCTGTCTGGGAGGCGCTAGAGCAGATGCTGCAGGGGTGGGGGACAGGTGAGGAGCCGAAGGACGATGCACAGGGTCACGTGACCCTGCAGTGGCCGAGGTAACTCCCAGGAGTGGCCTGTGGCATCCTGGCATATGCCGGCCCCTGTTCTTGGGGCAACGGTCACGCAGTCATCCTGCCTAGCACTGGACTCTGGGCTGGGAGGTAGAATTGCGGTGTAAACTTTAACCTGAGGTCGTCCTCCCTCACCCTCAGCGACTTCCTCCTCCTTCTGGGATGACCAGCAACCCCATTTCCCAGTCTTCAAGAATATCCCTGGCCCCCTCTCCTATCCCCCTCCAGGTGTCTGGGGACAGTGGGACAGTCGCAGTATATGATGGACAGGCAGCATGGACACAGGCCAGCACCGAGAAGGAATGACCTGGCCTGTGGTTCCCGCCTCTCCCCGCAGGTGGGGCCGGAATAAGGCCTGGGTGATGCATCGGCGGTGACCTCAGAGCCCAGAGGCTGGGGGCCCAGATGTCCCCTGCCACCCCAGGAAGGCTCCGCACCTTGCAGGTACTTAGCGCCTACTATATATAGGCCTCTAAGAGCCGCGGGCGGCAGGCCCTTCACCACCTCCGCCAGCCCTGCCACTGTGGCCTGGCACCGGGACAGAGGATAGATAATGCAGCCCACGGTCACCTGCTCCCCCTCTCCTCCTTCCCAAGAGGGCGGAAGCACTACCCGTCTGGTGGCTGGGGAAACTGAGGCTCTGGGATTTTATTTTATTTATTTTCTTTTTGGGTCACACCTGGCGATACTCAGGGGTTCCTCCTGGCTCTGCACTCAGGAATTACTCCTAGTGGTGCTGGGGGGGACTATATTGGATGCCGGGGATTGAACCCAGGTCAGCCAACGTGCAAGGCAAACACCCTCCGCGCTGTGCTATGGCTCCGGCCCCTGAGGCTCTGAGATGTGTCCAGAAGTCTCCTGCTGCCTTCCAAGGGGGACTTGAGCGGGGAGCAGCCTGGGCAGCCCTGGCGGGGGGCAATGATGCTGCTTCCCTGCAGCCTGCACGGGGCCGTCCCTCCTAGCTTCACCCCAATATCTAATCTCCCTGCCTCTTCTTTGCTGGGGAGGTGCAGGGGGATCGGGTTCCCGTTTCCAAGCTACCAAGGTTGCAGCTGGTGAATAATGCAACTGGGGACCCAAAAGAGTGAAAAGCTAAGTTGGGGTTCTCTGGGGGGCGCCTTTTCTGCAGGTGTCCTGCAAGCATCTGGAACTGAGTCCACCTCATCCCTGAAAAGCCCCTCAAGCCCCAGTAGCGAAATGCCTTGCACCTCCACCCCCTGTGGGGTCCCCCACGGCACCATTTCTCAGGGCAGCTCAGCGGCTGTAGTTGGGGGGCCCCCGGGACACCTGGCCATGAGTTTGGGGACTTTCCACTGTGCTGTCCGGCCTGAACAGTCAACATTTTCGGTGGCACCGTCAGCCCTCAACACCCATGAGGGAATCCGGAGATAAAATTCAGCCAGAACGTGCCCGCACCCCTCCCCTGCAGGCTGCGCTTGGGACTTCCCAGGGAAAAAAGAGGGGTCCGTATTCTGTCCCCCCCCTCACTGGCTGGGGAGTTTCCGGGGTGGCCCCACCCCTCCATGGCTCCTGAGGAGCAGAGCGACAGAAGCGATGATGCTCATGCCGGGCGCCAAGCCCCGGCCCCCCCTCGGCCCCGCACGTGCCCTCCGCCCCCACCCCACCCCCACACTTACATGGGTGCTGCCGGCGCCCACACATGGTTGTCGAGGGCCATGGCTCCCTGGCCGGGCAGCAGCTCTGCTTCCCTGCAGCCTTCTGGAAGCTCTGACCTGGGTGGGGTAGGGTGGGGGGCTGCGGGGTGGCACTGGGTGAGCAGGTCTGGCGGGTTTGGGCCCCAGGCGGTGCCGGCTGGGCCGGGGGCTGGGGGCTGGCGGGCTGTCCTGGGCGGCGCTATCAGCTTTCCTGATCAATTATTCACCAGCATGGCCTCCGGCCCCAGCAGGCGGGCTTGGGCCTCCAGCTTCTCTCCTGCTTGGGGCAGCTGGCTGGAGCCCCCCCACCGGGGGTCCCAAGACCCCCTCGAGGAGAATAGGCACCCCCAATCCTCCAGGGTGACCCCTCCTTGGGTCCCTCAGACTCTGCCCTCCCTCTCAGAGTCCAGCCAGGGACAGGGGCTGGGGGCCTTTAAGCACACGGGAGCCCGTCGGGGTTCCAAGGAACTGGATAATGGGGTCCAGGTCACTGTTTTCCTTTGTTTGTGGGTCACTCCTGGAGGTGCTCAGGACTGACTCTTGACTCCGTGCTCAGGGATCACTCCTGGCCAGGTTCGGGGGACCCTATGTGGTGTCAGAAATTAAACTCACATCAGCCGTGTGGAAAGCAAGCACCTTTCTTTACCTGCTGTACCATCACACTGGGGCTCTAAAAGAACATTTTTTTTTTTTTTTTTTGCTTTTTGGGTCACACCCGACGATGCACAGGAGTTACTCCTGGCTCTGCACTCAGGAGTTTCTCCTGGCGGTGCTCAGGGGACCATATGGGATGCTGGGAATCGAACCCGGGTCGGCTGCGTGCAAGGCAAACGCCCTACCCGCTATGCTATCTCTCCAGCCCCTAAAAGAATAAGGTAAAGGTAAAGGCCCTCCCGTTGATCGTCGATTTGCTCGAGCGGGCCCAGTAACGTCTCCATTGGAGACTTTGTTGTTACTGTGTCTGGCATATCGAATACTCTCGGTAGCTTGCCGGGCTCTCCGAGAGGGGTGGAGGAATCGAACTCGGGTCGGCCATGTTGGCCGCTTGTAAGGCAAATGCCCTACCCGCTGTGCTATCGCTCCAGCCTAAAAGAATATTTTATTTAAAATTTTTTTAATTTGGGGTCAGAGCCAAATTAAAACAAACGCCCTACCCTACAGTGGGTAGGGATGCCTACCCTACAGTGGGTAGGGCGTTTGTTTGCCTTGCACATGGTCGACCTGGGCTCGATCCCCGGCATCCCATAAGATCTTCCAGCACTGCCAGGAGTAATTCCTGAGTGCAGAGCCAGGAGAAAACCCTTGAGCATTGCTGGTTGTGAGCCAAAAAGAAAAAAAAAATTTTAGTTTGTTTTTTGGGTCACACCTGGCACAGGGGTTACTCCTGACTCTGCACCCAGAAATTACTCCTGGCAGTGCTGGGGGGACCCTATGGGATGCCAAGGATCGAACCCGGGTTGGCCATGTGCAAGACACTTTACCCTCCTGTACTATTGCTCCAGCGAGCTCCAGCCCCAAAGAACATAATTTTTTTTCTCTTTTGGTCACACCCTGCGATGTTTAGGGGTTACTCCTGCCTCTATACTCAGAAATTACTCTTGGCAGGGCTGAGGGACCCTATGGGATGCCAAGGATCAAACCGGGGTCGGCTGTATGCAAGACAAACACCCTACCCCCTGTACTATTGCTCCAGCCCCAAAGAACCTATTTTAAAATGTTGTGGGGAAGGTGGGTGGAGCGATAGTACAGCGGGTAGGGCATTTGTCTTGCTCTCAGCCGACCCGGGCATCCCATAGGGTCCCCCAGCACCACCAGGAGTAATCCCGGAGTGCAGAGCCAGGAGGAACCCCTGTGCATCGCTGGGTGTTACCAAAAAGAGAAACAAAAAAGTTCTGTCTGCTTGTTTATTTATCTCTTAGGCCATACCTGGTGGTACTCCCAGTCCCCCCAGGTGAATAACTCAGAGCTCTGCCTGCAGAGCCATCTCCTCTACAGGATGATTCTTATTTTTGTCCCACATCTGGCAGTGCTCAGGGCTGACTCCTGGCTTCGTGTTCACTCCTGTGTTCAGAGGACCATTTGTGTTGGAGGTATCAAGTCGGGGCCGCCGTATGCAAGGCTTGCCCCGTTCTCTCTTTGTCCCCCATAGTATCTTATTTATTGCTTTTTTGGAGTCACACGCGGCGGTACTCAGGGTGACTCCCGGCTGTGTGCTCAGGGATCACTTCTGGCAGCATTTGGGAGACCATATGAGGTGCCCCGGGCAGGTCCCTAAGCACAGGGAGCAGAGAGGAAGGTGGTGAGGTAGCTGGGAGGAAGGCCTGGTAAGCCCACGCTATGGCAGGAGAGAGATAACATGCAAATAAAGCAAGTCAGAAAGGTAGGTGCACTGAGTAAAGGGGAGGGCTGAGCGTGTGCAGCAAGTGGGGGGGGATGACAGATGGAGAGGGTGGGTGGGGTCATGCAAAGGACCTGTGGCAGGGTGGGAGGGGCGGGGCTTCAGGGCTCAGCCTCCTGGAATGCCCGTTGGAGCTCAGTCCATCAGTGGCTGCGATCTGACCAGTCGGCCAGGCATGCTGGGAATGTGCTCGTGCCTCTCAGGCAGGGTGGAGGCAGCTTGGAGAGCCTGAGAGGGCTAAGGGTGCAGGCAGGACAGGGCTGGACTCCCAGAGGCAATGGCCTGGAAGATGGGTGCAGGAAAGGTCTGCAGCCCTCACTGAGTAATGATGAGAACTCGAAAAAGGGGTGGTCTGCCGAGTGGAGGGTGCCTGGTGGGCACAGGGGACACACGGACACCCAAGTTGGCCGCTAGTAGGAGGGGACCTGGAGTGGCTGCTGGGGAGCCCCTTTCCACTCAGACAGAGCACGCACTGTCCGACCGGGACACAGGGGCAGAGCCTGGAGAGATTGCGGGTCACTAATGGGCGTCCCACACGGCCAGTAACCTCCCTTCAACGCTCTGAGCACCCACAGATGTGGCCCCAACAGAAGCACCCGGGAGGGTACCAGCGATGATTCAGTTCGCAAAGCTGGGGTCCTGCCCTGGCACCGTGTTGGCAGCTGCGGGAGCAGGGGGGCGTGAGAGGGGAACAAGCAGTCAGATCACTGGGGACTTCTGGGGGGGAAGCGTCACGAAGAGGGTCCCCCACAATAAATGTAGCTCAGCAGAATATGTTAGTGTGAGGGCCTGTATTTGATCCCTAATGGGGGCAGGTGGAGAAAAGGGAGAAAAAAAAAGAAAGAGGAAGAGAAAGAAAAAGAAGGGAGGGAGGCAGAAAGAGAAAAGGCAAGAAGAAGGAAGAGGGGCTGGAGCAATAAATAGCTCTGCGGGTAGGGCGTTTGCCTTGCACACGGCCGACCCGGGTTCATTCCCAGCATCCCATATGGTCCCCTGAGCACCGCCAGGAGGAATTCCTGAGTGAAGAGTCAGGAGTAACCCCTGTGCATTGCCGGTGTGACCCAAAAAGAAAGAAAAAAAAAAGGAAAAGGAGAGAAAAATGGGAAAAGAAAAAGAGGAAGAGAAAGGAAGAGGAAAGGAAGGCGGGGCGGGACAGACCTTGGGTGGGTCGCCGCGCAGCCCGGCTCCCTCGGTCCAGCCCTCCCAGCCCCGGTGCCCGCCCCCCGCGGCCGCGGCGTCCCCTCCTCCCTGTCCAGCGCGCAGTGGGCGGCGCCCTCGGCGCGGGGCGGGCGGTGGAGACCGAGTGGCCTCGGGACAGCCCCGGCGCTGGGGCGCTCCGGGGGACGGCACCTGGTGCCCCCTAGAGCCCGAGGGGTGCGCCGCAGGGGTGGAGGGTGGAGGGGCTGCCGGGCTGGCACCGCCAGGGAAACGGGGGTACCACCTACGGCCCAGCGCTCAGCGTGAGCCAAGCCGGGGCGGGCAGGTGCCAGGGTGGCCCTCAGCGGAGAGACACCGGCCGCGCAGCCCGGACCCCGGGTAGCAGGCGGGGTCCGGGACGGCCTTTCTCGCCCCGAGCCGGGTTCCCCAGCCCGCCCGGACCGAAGCCGCGGGCGTCGAGGCGGACCCGCCGCGGAGGCGGGGCGAGGGCGGGCTGAGGCCTTCGGACAGGTGCTGGGGGCGGTGCCCGGCCCTGCCCCTGGGGCCGAGTCCCCAGGCCGGGGCGGGTCAGAGACGCGGTCCGTGCCGGCGACGCCTCGGAATCTGCGGGCGGTGGGGGCGGCGGACACAGGTACCACGCAGGGCCCGGCGCGACCCAGCTCGGAGCATCCAAACCTCGGCGCGTGCAGCCTCGGAGGCTTCGGGGCTGGACCCGCGCGGGCCCCGGGGCTCGAGAGCAGGGCTCCGGGGTCGCCCGAAGAGTGCGCCAACGAGCCCCAGAGCCCGGGCCCGGCGGGTCAGGACGCCGCAGCTGGGGACTTGGAGCGCCCCGGGCCCGGCAGCCACGGCGCGGGGGTACCGGGGCACTGTCGCTCCGCGGGGACGGGCTCGGCCGGCCCCGGGCGCCCTCGCTCGCCGCCGCCCATGGAGACGCCCATCGAACGGGAGATCCGCCGGGCCTGCGAACGCGAGGAGAGCCTGCGCCGCCGCCGGGGCCTGAGCCCGCGCCGCGCGGCCCGCGAACTCGTCGAGCTGCGCGTGCGGCCGGTGCTCTGCCGGCCCGACCCGGTCCCCGCGTGCCCGCGCGCTCTGGAGCGCGCGCGGGCGGGCGCGCGGATGCGGCGGGACATCGAGCGCGAGGCGCACCGGCAGGCGGCGCTCGTGAGCCCCGTGGGCCCGGAGCCGCCGCCGCCGCCGCTGGGCGAACTTAAGCGCTTCTTCGAGGCGGCCGGCGGCGGCTCCTCTCCAAAGGCGGGGGCGGCGGGGGGCGGCGCGGGCCCGCCCGGGATGCCCGAGCGCGGGGGCCGTGCCCCGGGGCCGGCCCGCTCCCCGCCGCCCGCCGCGCCGTCGCTGCTGGAGCAGGAGGTGCGCGCGGCGCGGGAACGCGAGCGGGAACTGCAGCGCCAGCGCCGCTGCGTCTATGGCACCGCCGAGGGCGCCGAGCCCGCGCCCAGCCTCGCGCGTAAGCCTCGCGCCACGGTCGCCCCGCTCCGCACCCTGGGCTCTTAGGGGTCCCTCCCGCCCAACTCTGAGCTGCTCCACCCCCGCGCTAGGAGGGATCCACCCTCCCACCCCCACCCCGTCCAGCTGCCCTAGATTCCTGGGGGCGGGGACGGGGATTCCAGGTGCTTTTGTCGGTGTCACGACACCCCGGCTGGATTCTGGCACTGCCAGGCTGTCTCTGCCCACCTGGGGTTCACCTCCCCCCAACCTCAGCCAGGTCCCCCGCTCCAGATGGAGACGTCCGTGGGGAGAGGGGTGGGTGGACGCCAGCGTGTTTGAGGGGCGCGGCCGCCTCCTGCTGGCGAGAGGAGGGGCGCGCCCGACTGAGCGCCTCACCGCACCCCCGACAGCGAGCAGGGGCGACGGCAAGTTGGCGGTGATCTGGCCTCCCCGCGGAACGAACTTGGAGAACGCCCCGGAACAGGTAGGAACCCCTTTCTTTCCCCCGCTCGGCTGGGGCGCGGGTCGCCCGATCCCTACCTGGCCCCCTCGTCCCACTGCTGCGGCTCTCCAAAGCCCCCTGCGGCAGGACGCACAGTTCCGCGCGCGGCCAGGGGGTGGCGAGGCGGCCCGTGGCAAGTCCACCCCGCGGTGCGCTGCTCCCCCCCCAGCCCTGCCCCCCTGGAGACCGGCCTAAGCTCCGGCCGCTTCTTCTCAGGACCAGCGGAAGCCTTGAGCCCGGAGCAGGCCGGACCCGCCCAATCCAACGCCCACTGGACGCGCACCCCCAGGAGGACGCCCCGTCGGCTGCGCCCCGGGAAGGTGAAATCGACCCCCTTGGAACCTTTCTTAAACGGACCCGGTTCTCTTGAAAACTGTTAAGTCCATTGGGAAATGGACCCCCGAACCCACGCACACGCGCCCCTCCTGCGAACGTGACTGTCCGTCCCACCTGCCCAGTTTGCCCTTCCGAGAGGACCGGGTCCCCGCCGCGTCCGCCACACCCAATAAAGCCACCCTTCTTCCCGAGCCCCGCCACGCAGTTTCTGGTATTCTTTTCCGCCCCCTTCATGGGGTTGGGGGCCAGCGGGGGTTGGAAAGTCGCAGTTAGGGTCGGAATGTGACCTCGTCGCCCAGTTCCGGGACTGCGGATCCCGCCCCCCAGCCGGCCCCTCCCGCCCCCTGGCGGCGCGGGCGTGAACTGCAGCCGCCGGACAAGCGGTCACACGCCTCCCTTCCCCCTGCAGGCGCCCGTGTGCCAACATTCCCTGGTGCCAAGGGCGCTGAGCGCTAGTGAGGAGGCGGTGATAAGAAGTTGTCCTGCCCTGGGGACATCAACAATAACTGCCCCCCGCAAAAAAATAGCGGGGCGCAGGTGAGAATGCCAATTCCTTGGTTGGGAAAGCAAAATCGCAGGACCCGGGGAGTATGTTGGCAGACAGGTACCTAATTCCACGACCCCCAAACTCCCAGCAGGACCTGCGAGCCCCTCCTCCAAAACACAAAAAAAAGACCCCTGCGGTTACTGTGAACATTTTTACTTCATTTCGTGGTGGAAGTCAGGCCACACCAGGCTGCCGTGGGGACCCCTTGTGTTGGGGATCAAATCTGGGCTGCTGCTGGCAAGCTCTTCACCTCTATCGGCTCTCCGGGGAGTCCTATTTTTCTTGGGTCACACTCAGGGGTGCTCAGGGGGGATCATATGTGGTTCCCGGGCTGGAACCCGGGTTGGGCCTGTGCAGCCTGACCCACTGTATATGGCTCCAGCCCCTCTATTTCCTCTTACCGTGTTTTTCTTGGCTTTGAGGCCACACCCCACAGTGCTTCTGGCTGAGGATGTGCGGGACTTGGTCACAGCTGGTGATGTTCAGGGAACACTCCTGGTGGGGTTTGGGGGACACTATGGAGAGCCCGGCAAGCTACCGAGAGTATTCGATATGCCAGACACAGTAACAACAAAGTCTCCAATGGAGACGTTACTGGGCCCGCTCGAGCAAATCGACGAACAACGGGAGGGCCTTTACCTTTACCTTTACTTTACCTATGAGGTGCCAAGGATTGAACTGGGGTTGGCTGTGTGCAAGATGCCTTACTTGCTATACTAAATAGCTCCCAAGAACCCCACTTTTTTGGGGGGGGCACACCTGGTGGTATTCAGAACTTACTCCTGGCTCTGTACTTAGGGATCAGTCTGATGGGCTTGGGGGATTCTATGGGATGCTGGGGATTGATCCCTGTTCAGCTGAGTTCAATGCAAGTGGCCTACCTGCTGTACTATGGAATCCCCTTTTTTGGGGGAGCCAGACCCAGCGGCTTACTCCTGGCTCTGCACTCCTGGCAGGCTCAGGGGACCCTGTTGGTGCTGGGGATTGAACGTGGGTCCGCAACATGCAAAATAAACGCCCTTCTGCTGCACTATTGTTCTGGCTCCAGAGCCCACTTTTTGAAAAAAAAAATTATTTTGCTATTTTTTTTGGGGGGGTCACACCCGGCAATGCTCAGGGGTTACTCCTGGCTCTGCACTCAGGAATTACTCCTAGCAGAGTCCAGGGAACCATATGGGATGCTGGGAATCGAACCCGGGTTGGCCGCGTGCAAGGCAAACACCCTACCCGCTGTGCTATTAATCCAGCCCTGAAAGTTTTATTTTGGGTAGGGTGCCAGAGATTGAACATGGCTTGGCTGCAAGGCCAGAACCCATTTTCAGGCCCCAAACTGGACCAAGGAAGCAGGTCACAGAGAGTGGATTCTGCTGCCAGGTTGGGGGGCGGGGCTTGCTCCCTCCTGCCTGTGATGAGCCCCAAGGCAGCCCTTGTCCAGTACCTGACACCTAGGGGGGCCCTGGCATCAGCACAGGGTCAAGCTCCCCACCTCTGTCCTTGGGTTCTGACCTGGAGCCTGCACGGTGCCCATGAGGCGGGTGCAGCTGGTTCTCCCGAGGGTGCCCAGGACAGTGGCTGAGCAAGGCCAGGCTCTGGCCCATCCCAGACTCCACGAGTCCATCCGGCCCAATGGGTGATGCTTAGGCTGGTGGGTCTGAGCATAGTCCCTACAGGGAGATAGTTTCCGAGCAACGCGCCAGTATGCTGGTGTCTGTGGCCCGCAAAGGCCACTGCCCGTGGAAAGGAGCCTGCAGCTGCGCGGAGATGCCTGAGCTAGGGTTTCCTCGCCGTGGGCAGAGTGGGGAACGTGGTTTTGGGCCCAGAAACAGGACATGAGGGTGCTGCACTTGCACATGGGGCTCTTCTGCCACTCCAGTTTTAGCTGCCAGCAGCACACTAGTGCCCGGAGCACAGGTGAGTGTGGGCCCCAAACCTACCAACCAGACATCAAGGACTCAGTATCGAAACAAACAAGCAAAGAAAAGCAAACTCAAGAATTTAAGAGGGGCTGGAGCAATAGCATAGCGGGTAGGGTGTTTGCCTTGCATGGGACGACCCAGGTTCGATTTCCAGCATTCCATATGGTCCCCAGAGCACCAACAGAAGAATTCCTGAGTGCAGAGCCAGGAGTAACCCCTGTGCATAGACAAGTGTGACCAAAAAAAAGCCAAAAAAAAAAAAAAAAAGAATTTCTTAAGAGGCAGGAGTGATAGTACAGCAGACAGGGCATTTGCCTTGCAGATGGTCAACCTGGATTCGAGCTCTGACAAGGGTTCAATCCCCAGCATTCCCTATGGTCCCCATAAGCACCGCCAGGATAATTCCTGAGTGCAGTCAGGAATAACCCCTGAGCATGCCAGATGTGACCCCAAAACAAAACCAAAAAGAAAATTTCTCAAATTCTCACCTGGATTATTATATGCTGAAATATTCTGGTTTCAGTGGGTACAGGTTAAAAAATGTTGCTAGGAGGACAGAGAGATAGTAGGCTAGGGAAGGCGCTTCCATTGTGCCAGGACTGATCCCTGGTACCACATATGGTCCCCATCACTGCTGGTTTTTTTTTCTTTTTGGGTCACACCCAGCGATGCACAGTGTTTACTCCTGGCTTTTGTACTCAGGAATTGCTCAGGGGACCATATGGGATGCTAGGAACCAAACCCGGGCCGGCCACATGCAAGGCAAACGCCCTTCCCGCTATACTATCACTCCAGCCCCCACCCATCACTGCTGGGAGTGAGCCCTAAGTGTAGCACCGCCAGTGTAAAGGTAAAGGTAAAGGCCCTCCCGGTGTTCGTCGATTTGCTCGAGCGGGTCCAGTAACGTCTCCATTGGAGACTTTGTTGTTACTGTGTCTGGCCTATCGAATACATCACGGGGAGCTTGCCAGGCTCTGCCGTGCGGGCGAGATACTCTCGGTAGCTTGCCGGGCTCTCCGAGAGGGGAGGAGGAATCGAACTCGGGTCGGCCACGTTGGCTGCTATCGCACCGCCAGTGTAACCAAAACAAACAAAATGGCCCTACTGATGGTTTGACCTTTCTCATTTAAAAAAATCTCGGGGGGGGGGGGGGGCTGGAGCGATAGCACAGCGGGTAGGGTATTTGCCTTGCATGTGGCCTGACCCGGGTTCGTTCCCATCTTCCCATATGGTCTGAGAATGGCCAGGAGTAATTCCTGAGTGCATGAACCAGGAGTAACTCCTGTGCATCGCTGGGTGAGACCCAAAAAGCAAAAAAAAATCGGGGCTGGGGGGGGTGGCAGCGTGATAGTATAGCGAGTAGGGCAGAGTAGGGCCTCTGCCTCGAATATTGCATCCTATGGGCCAGAAATGATTCCTGAGAGCCATGAAAGTCATGACTGTGTCGTTGGGTGGGGCCCCAAAGCAAAACAAAGCAATCTCTGGGCCACACTGGGGGGTGCTATGAGACCCTGCTGATGGGGGACAGAACCCGGGACTGTGAGACCACAAATGTTAGGGACCGAACCAGGGGCTCCCACATGCAAAGGCTAGGCTCTGCCCCGACCTTTTTCCTTTATTGTGGCTCCTAGAAACCACCAGGCCTAGGGCTTCCTGCCTTGCACGTATCTGACCCCAGCTAGCTCGCGGAGTCCCAGGGGCCCACGAGGAGTGTTTTCCGGAGCACAGCCAAGTGTGGCACAAAAGCAAAAAGAAAGAAGGGTGAAGTTACATATTTTGGTCACTTTAGAATAGCCACACTATTATGTTTTGTGGTGTAGGGCTCAAATCCAGGGTCTCACCATTCCCCTCTCCCTCACTCTGTCTGTAATCTGTAACAGATATATTTAGGGGTGAGAAAGATGGTCCGGTGCGATAGATTTCATGCTTCGCTGAAGCTGCAGGAGGCAGGAGCCCTGGGTTCCATCCACAGCACCTCCAAAAAAAAAAAAAATGTGGGACCGGAGAGACAACTTGGTGGCTGGGGCACAATGTGTCCGGCGTGGGGGGCCAGCTTCTACCCCTGACGCCACCTGGCCTCTGAGCCTACCTTAGCACTGAGCCAGGGGCAGTCTCTGAGAGCCAGGTACCTGTGGCCACCCCCCCCAACCGCAAACAAAAAATTAAAATGATTTTTTTAAGCAGACCAGGGATCAAACCCAAGGGAAGCATCAACTCTACCTCGAAGCCATATCCCTGCCACTTTCACATTTTTTATAGAACCAGGATCGGTTTCTTTTGGGGGCCTTAGAGATCCCTCCTGGTGGCGTTTGGGGGCGACGGAACCCAGATCGGCTGCCTGCGAGGCGCGCGCCTTCCCTGCTCTCTGGAGCCGAAGCCCGGAGTTTGGCGACACTTTCCAAGTTTGCAATCCTGTCTCCCTCTGCGTGGGTTTTCCTGCAGAAACCCAGGATCCTACCAAGGACCCAGGAGATCAGCTAAATTAGCGCTTGGCTCCGAAGCACCAAGCCCGGGCTCCAGGCGAGTCCCCAGGCTCCCGTGGAGCCGGGGATACACCCAGAGGCGTCCCTTAGTTCAGTGCGGGGGGGCACTGAATGCTGAACCTGCAAGTACACTTCTGCCCTCGCAAAACTCCAACCCCGCTCCGGGCTCCACCACCTGCTCGCTGTTCACGTCTTTCCTCCTTCGTTCCGCGTCCCGTCGAAGTCGGAGCTCTCCCCGCGACCCGCGCCCGGGACACCCGGCGGGCTACGAGCCCCGACAGGCAAGAGGCGGACGGGACTCGGGCTCGCTCGCGGGAAACGCCGGAGCGGCCGGCAGCGGCACCGGCAACCACTTCCGGGTCAAACGCTGGGCGTGGCCCCGGCGGTCGCTCCCTCCCCGCCGCCGTCCACCAGTGGGGGTGGAATTTCCCGGCGGCCCGAAACCTGCGGTTTTCTGGGTTCCGGTTGTTGACAGGCTTCGCTACTTCCCTTTCGGCTTCACGCGCGCCCGCTGCGCATGCCCCGACCCGCCCTGGCCGCTCACCGGAGCGCGGCTCCCGGAGACTACATTTCCCAGAATGCCCCGCGCGCGCATCTGGGGCGGGGCCTCCGCGCCCCCAGGGGCGGGGCGGGGCGCGGCGGGGCGGGGTGGGGCGGGGCGCGGCGAGCGGACGGAGCTTGCGACTTCTTTCTTTTATTTCACGCCAAAGTGCTGTGTCCGCGCGCAGGGCGCAGCGGCCGGGCCCGGGTGGGCCCCGGGGACGGCGCGGCTGAGCTGCACCGGGAGAACAAGTGAGCTCCTCCCCTCCCCACCCTCCTCCCCCGGACTCCGCAGCTGTCAAGCGCCAGGCTTGGGGTTCAGGACCCCAGCGCGGTCCACGCCAACGGCGCGCCTGCGCTCGGAGGCTGAGCCGGGCCGGCCTGGCCCGTGAGGATCTGTACCAGCAGGTCGGTGGCCAGCATGTGCGACGGCTCCTCGAACCCGATGGTCAGCAGCTGCTGGTAGTCCCCGGGCGGCTGCGGACACAGAATCCTGGGAGCCGGGAGGACAGGCGTCACCCCCTCTTGTTTTCTCGGGAGCCCCTCCCTCCCCTCCAGTGAGAGGCTGAGGCCTGAAAGAGGCTTTGTTTCAGCCAGGGCTGGGGAGAACGCTGGGGGGGGGGGGGGCAGCTGTTTTCCTGTGGGTGAGAGACGGAGGGAGGTCACGGCTCCCCGAGGCTGAGCTGCGGCTGGCTGTGCGTCCTGAGGCCGGGAGCTAGGCCTCTCTGGGCACCTGTTTCCTTTCTTGGCCAAAAGGGAGCCAGCAGTATAGGCCTCAGCTGGGTGCTGACATCACCCTGAACAAGGCACTTCGAAGAGCACAATAAAATGCTGTGTACCACCCAGCGGAAGCAAAGTGTGTCTGTGTATGTGGAGAGGTGGGTCTGGCGGGTTGGGGAGAGGGGGCACCCCGCAGGAGCTCCCGCCCACCTTGCCGTGCCTTGGCACCTACCAAGAGTAAAGGTCATCATCTGCTGGCCCGAGGGGCACCCACCGGCCGATGGACCACAGCTTCTGGATCTGCAGGCAGGAGTTGGCTGGACTCTGCCCTGCATCTTCCCAGGTGTCTCGGTAGCACAGGAAATAGCTGCAGAGGAGGGCGGGCGGGATGTGGCCTTGGTGCAGCTCCTACTGTGCTCGCCTGAGACCCTAGTTCGGTTCCTGGCACTGCCCAAAGCAGAAAGGTGTAAGTGGCCCCTTTCCTGGCTTCTTCCTGTTATGGCTTCAATTTTTTTTTTTCTTTTTGGGTCACACCCGGCAATGCACAGGGGTTACTCCTGGCTCTGCACTCAGGAATTATTCCTGGCAGTGCTTGGGGACCATATGGGATGCTGGGAATCAAACCCAGGTTGGCCACATGCAGGGCAAACGCCCTACCCGCTGTGCTATCGCTCCAGCCCCAAGGCTTTGAATTTTGGCTGAGAGGGTCACTCATCAGCAGGCCTCTGCTTCTCTGGGCAGGTAGGCTCAGCCTGAACCCCGCCTTCTCTCCTGCCCACCTGCTTTTCCCATGAGAGCTTTTATTTTGATAGGAGGATGCATGCTTACAGAGGAGGATGGTTTTGTAGAAACCCTCGCTATGGGCCGGGGATGGGGCTTTTGCCTGTGCATGTGTGGGGCCCTGGGTTCAATTCCTGACCCAGAACAAATACTAATTTTTCAAAAGGCTGTCCAGGTTGGCTGGGAATGAGTTAAAAAGATGTGTCTTCTGCATGGCAGCAGAGAGCATTGTGACTTTGGTGAGGGGACTCACTAATCCACACTGGGTTCCCGTCCACGGCTGCCGGGCTCCAGGGTGCTTTCCACGTTCCAGCGCATCTTCTTATAGAGGTATCGGGGGAAGCGGCCGGCAGTGTAGGCCGCTGGCGAGCAGTAGCGGAAGATGGAGACCTCGTGGGAAGGGCTGATGGAGAACCGTCCGCAGAAAAAGCAGGAGATGCTGGCGGAAGGTGGGGATGAGATGGGGCCGAGATCCCCATGGCCGCTGCCCGGCTCTCCTCCCGCCCTACCTCAGGGGGTTCGTCTCCTCCAGGTCTACGAAGCCGAAGGAGGCGTACATGAGCACCAGCTGCTCCAGCCGCAGCGTAAGCTGCTGGGAGATGTCTAGGAGCTACAGGGGGCGGGAGCCAGGATGAATCATGGGGCAAGGGGCACCCCCTGCTGACCTCCATAGGACTGAGGGACAACCAAAAGGGGCTGGGGTAACCTGCACACACCCCCTTGCGGACCAGTTCCTGCAGGCCCCCATAGATGGGAGGTACGCTCCGCGCCGCCGCCTCCAGGTACAGGAAGTATGGCTCACACAGCTGCAGGAAGGTGGGCATGGCCTTGGCCAGCTGTTCCTTCTGCACGCGGTCCCTGCTAAAGGGAGAGAAAGGCGGGGGTCCTTCAGTGCCCCCCTCACGGCTCCCCATCCCGTGACCCAAATCCCCAACCTTCGCGCCTCTCTCACGACCGACTCCTCAAAGCCAAGGGGTCACGTTCTTTTTTTTTTCTTTTTTAAATTTTTATTAGTGAAACACCATGAGGTACAATTGTAGACTTACATTTTTTTTTTTTTTATGTAGGAGTACTGCTATTTATTCAGCCACTGATTAGGCTGATTGAATTGTGCATGAACTCCACTAGACTTACAAATTTTTGTGCTTGGATTTCAATTATACAATGATCGAGTACCCATCCCTCCACCACTGCCCATTTTCCATCACCACTGATCCCAGTATCCCTCCCACCTCTCATTCCTCCATCCCACCCTGCCTCTGTGGCAGGGCATTCCATTTTCTTCTCTCTCTCCTTTTGGGTGCTGTGGTTTGCAAAAGGCATTGAGTGGCAATCATGTTCGGTCTATAGTCAACTTTCAGCATGCATCTCCCATCCTGGGAGGATCCTCCCAACACCTTTATTTGGTGCTCCCTTCTCTATCTGAACTGCCTTTTCCCCTAGCATGTGTAGCTGGCCTCCAAGCCATGGAGTGAAGCTCCTGGTACTTATCTCAGCTATTCTTGGGTGTTAGTCTCCTATTTTGTTACTTTATGTTCCCCAGATGAATGCAATCTTTCTATGTCTGTCCCTCTCTTTCTGACTCATTTCGCTTAGCATGCTACTTTCCATGTAGTACCACTTGTATGTAAATTTCATGACTTCATCTTTTCCAACAGCTACATAGTAGGGGTCACGTTCTTGTTGTTGTATCTGTGGGCCACACTCAGAGATGCTCAGGGCTGACTCCTGGCTCTATGTTCTGTGCTCACTCCAGGCAGGAATCGGGGGACTCTGGGATGCCAGAGATCGAACCCAGGTCAGCTGCATACCAAGCAAGCGTCCTCCCTGCACCACTCTGGCTCCGGGCCCGGTGGAACTTGTTGAACCATCCACACCTGAATCCGCTGTGGACAGCAGCTTCAGAAGCTCCTGAGTGGGGCACTGGCCTTGCATGTCGCCCACCTGGGTTTGATCCCTGACATCCCATAGGATGTTCCCAGTATAGCCAGGAGTGATTCCTGAGTGCAGAGCCAGAAGTAACCCCTGCGCACAGCCGGGTGTGCCCCGCCCCCCCCCAAAAAAAATAGAAAAAAAAAGAAACAAAAACAGCAACAATTCCCTGGAGGAGGGAGCCCAAAATTCGAGTTTATACCAGTGTTCCCCCCTTGCTTGCTGGTGCCTGGCCTAAGGACCCATCCAGACCCATATGGCCCTCATCACAACTAGTGGTTTTTAACCCGTCTACACCTGCAGGCTGGTGACTGGAGACCACCAGAGCAAACAGCCTCTCAGGGGAATTCAACGGAAACCTGAGCCTCAGTGAGCGTCAGTTCCTGGTTGAGGGAAGCACATTTTCCTTAGGAGTCTCAAACTGGCCACCAGTGGGCCCAATCACTCCCAACAGCTGTTTTCCTCAACCCTCATTCCACTCTATGCAAATGTGGTCAGGGAGATAGTATAGTGCACACAGCTGACCAGGGTTCGAGCCCCAGCACCCTATAGGACCCCAGTGCACTGCCAGGAATGACCCCTGAGCAAAGAGCTCGGAGCAAGTCCTCAGCACCGCGGTTTACTCCCACCCACCCACCCCCGTCCTCCCCACCCCCCAAACAAAGAGTCTCACCAACAGTGAGAAACTGGGGTGAAAGATTTGGCAAAAGAGACAAAGCAAAGACACGCAGCCATTTGCTTGCTTTGGGTTGTCAGATGCAGCCTGCTCAGGAGGCCTCTGGCTCCTCAGTTTTGGGGTTCTCAGTCCCGGAGTACAGAGGGGCGGGCTTTGGCCTTGCTCAGAGCCACCGAGTTCAGCCCCTGGCATCATGCATAGCCCCCACCCTGACAAACCAGGAGTTAGAGCCAGAACTAAGCCCTGCGCACCACAGCCCCGCACCCCTCAAAAAGACCTTAGGGGAGCTCCAGTGGCGCAATCGGTTAGCGCGCGGTGCTTATACGGCAGTACGTGCAGAAAAAGACCTAGGGTTCTTGACACTGGCGGGTGTGCCTTAATTTGTCCCCCTCCCCCGTCTGCGCCAGCAGTTCGGACCTCACCTGTATAGCAAGTAGCTCTGGAAGTCATCCGCCTTCTTGAGCAGGTAACGGAGCTGCTCAGTGATGGGGCTGAAAAGCGCCTCCAAGGGAAAGCGCGCAGGGGCGGGCCCAGGGGGCGAGGGCGTCGGGGGCGCCGGCTCGGTCAGCGGCCCCCGGGAGTCCTCGGCGTCCGCCTCGGGTGAGTGGCCAGGTGGGCCGAGGGGCGTCAACCACGAAGCATCCCGGCGGGGCTGAGACCCGTGGGCCTCCAGGCCTTCGGGGGGCGGGGTCTCTCCGGGGACCCCCGGGAGCAGCGGCCCCTCGAACCACGGCTCATTGGCCATCCAAGGGCTGGCTGCGAGCTGGGTGTCGTTGGGGTTGGGCGCGCTGGGGGCCTCCAGCCCAGCCCTGCCTCGACCTCTCTGCCGAGCGGAGCCGCGGGAGTTCGCCTCGTTTGAATTTCAACACGCGGGAGGGGCGGGGCGCGCCCGTGCGTGCGGTCCCTGCCGCGCGCCTGCGGAGCCCCGCGCACACGCGCGCTCCAGGGGCGCGGGTAGGGGGGGCGAGGCGCTGTAGGGACCCCTCCACCAAAGGGCTCCGCGCGCACCTCCATATGCCTGGGTGCTGAGGGCTGGTGCCCAAGGGAGGAGGGGTCAAACACCACATGTCCACACATCCGCGGGACACCCCTGCCCCCACGCGCAGCCTCGGACGCCCAGGTCCTGGAACCTCTTTCCAAAATAACCCGGGAACTATTCTAGAACTTGCATTATAAAATGGGGTAGGTTTGGTCTCCAACTGTGACTCCCCATCCCTCAGCCCCCAAGGCTGGTGGTGAGCAGTTCTCCTCTCCAAAGTGAGGTTTTGGGAAGCACTTGCCTCCCCCCTACCCTCAGCTGCAAACTTTAAAGCCGCTCCAAAGGTGCAGAAGAAAGTAAAGCGAACCACCGATATTTACGTGCCTGCTGGGCACTGGGCAAGGCCTGGGGCACAGACCCCAGCAAACGCTGCTCCTCTCGGCTAACTCTAACCATTGGGCCCTCCCTTCCCCCACTCCAGCCACGACATGGATACAGACCTTTTTTTTTCTTTTTCCCCATTTCTTTTTCTTAAAACTTTATTTAAAAAACCTCCGGTGCAATATTAAAAAGCAATACAGCCAGCTGGAGCAACAACCAACAGAAAGAAAGGGGGGAGGGAGAAGAAAGACACAGGGACCCCCACCCCCACGGCAGGGGGGGCCAGCAAGGTATGGCCGCCCACCCCAAAGAACAGAACAGCTGAACAAAACATTTATATAGGAAACATCTGGGTGAACTCAAAGGGATCTCGGGTAGAAGGGAGGCCCACCACTTTTTCTTCTCAAAAAAAAAAAATGTTCAGGGCTGGGGGGAGGAGGGGGTGCGGGGCAGGTCTGGCCTCCTGGGGTCCAGTTAATAGCCCCTGTCCCTGTCTCATCCCTAGATGAGGACTGGGGTGCCCCCTCCTTAGAAACTGTCATGAGGGCCAAGGGTGTGGCCCTGTCCAGTGTCTGGACTGGGCGCAGGGGGGCGGGGCTGGGAGTGGACAGGGGCCGGGAGGGATGGGCGGGGCAGGGTGCGCCGGGCGCTCAGCCAAGAAAGCCGTCAGGGTCATCGTCTTCAAAATGGCCTTGCTGGAGCACCTTGATGTGGTGCTCGTAGATTTTCAGGGCAGGGCCCAGGCGGATGGACAGGCCAGTCAGCACGTCGGTGCGTTGCATGAGCAGCAGAGATTTGCCGTCGATTTCCTGGACAGGCACGTGAGCACGAGCACAGGTCAGGGCTGACCCACCTCCTCCGGCCCGAAGGGCGTGTGCGGTTGGGGTGGCCCGGCAGGGTGTGGGGGGGAGTCACCTGCTCTTGAAAAGCTGTTGCCTGCTCAGGGAAGCCGGCCTCGGTGAAGTACTCCACCACGTCCATGACCGTCCACTCCACAGGATCAGCCGGCTTCTCCTTGCGGCCAGAACTGCAGGGGAAGGGGGGGTGGAAGGGGGGCACAGTGAGGTTCAACGCCCCAGCGGTCCATTCGGATATGTGGGCACCGCCGTGGGCGTTCCGACACCCTCACTTACGTGCAGCCATAGGGGATCCCGTCGGCCCCAGGGAGGGCTGGTTTTCCCGGGGGCAAAGGCACGGGGGAGGGACAGTCAGGTCCAGGGGTGGCGCAGCCTGGGAAAGAGTACAGGTCACACCTGCGGCTCCGGCTTGGGGCGTCCCCCCGGCCGCAGAGGGACCCTTACCCGAGCCCCCGTCCTTGCTCATGGTGGCCATGGAGAAGATCTGGCGGGTGCCCGGCGCGGGTCCGCGCCCCTGCTCTGGGCCCTGGTGGGGGCCAGCGGGCGTCCACTCCTTGACCCGCTCCTTGGCGTTCTGCAGGTCGGGCTCGCCGTTAAGTTGGTGGTGCGGCGGCGCCCCCGCGGGGCGGTCACTCTCGGGCACCTCGGAGGCCTCGGACACATCGTCCTCGTCGTCTTCCTCCTCGTCGTCGTCGTCGTCGTCGTCTTTCTCGAGCACCGGCTCTTCGCCTCTCTGTGGGGGGGACACGGGCCCGGTGGGCGGCGGCCGCGGCCCCGCGGCGCGGCGCCCCGGACCAACTTTTCCGCCCTCGCTCGGCGGCGTCCACTCGCGACTCGGCCGCGCAACCGCCCTCGACTCGCGCCGCCGCCCCAAGAGGTCGCTCCTGTCACCGGGCCGCCGTGCGCCCCCGAGGAAACTGAGGTTCGCGGGGATGAAGTCGCTCGCCAAGGTCACCACGCGCGCGGCAGCCCCCGCCCCCGCGGGCCCGGCGCCCCCACCCCGCCCCCAACTTGGCCCACACCTGCCCGCGCCCCCCGCGCTCACCTTGCTCCGCGCCGCGCGGGCGCTGGCGGCCGGGGGCGCCCGTCCGGGCCTGTCCCCGCGGGGCGGCGCGAGCGCTCCGAGGCGGGTGCGCTCCGGGCGGCTCCGCGCCGCCGCCTCCTCCTCCAGCAGCCCCTGCACGCGGCCGCGGGTCAGGCGGCCGCCCGCGCCGCCGCTGCCCCCGAGGTAGCGCACGACTTCCCGCAGGCTCACGGGCCGCGCCGGGCCGCCGGCCCGCACCGCGCCCCCCTCCGGCGGCGGCGGCGGCTGCTGCGGCGGCGGCGGCGGCTGCTGTGGCGGCGCCGGCGCCGGTGGCGGCAGCGGCGGCGGCGGCTCCCGGGCGGCGGCGGCGGGCGCGGGGGCGCGGCGCGGGCCGGCCGGGGTCGCCGCGGGCGGCGGGGCGGCGGGCGCGGGCGGCGGCGCGGCCAGGGGCGCGGCCCGCTGCGCGCGGGGGCCCGGCTGCGCGGGGCCGGGCGAGGGGGGCGCTGTGGCGGCGGCGGCGGCGGCGGCCGCGCGGGGCGCCCGGGCCGGGGCGGCGGCGGCGGCGACGGGCGCGGGCGGCGGCGGCGGGGCGGGCGTGGGCGGCGGCGCGGCGGCGGCGGCGGGGCCCCCGCGGGGGGCGCGCGGCGGGGCCGGCGGGGTGGCTCCGCGCCGGGGCGGCTGGACGCGCGCCGCGTTGCGGTACGAGATGCTCCCCTTGTAGCTGACCCGGAGCACGGCGCGCTGCTGGATCAGTTTCTCGAGCTCGGCGCGCGTGCGCTCGGGCTCCGGGCCGTGCCGCCGCCGCACCATCCGGCAGATGCGCTCCAGGTCCGGCCGCGCCTTGCGCGAGCGCAGCGAGTCGATGGTGTCCAGGATCCACTCTTGGTAGTGCGGGGAAGCAGCGGACGACGAGGCGGCGGCCGCCGTGGTGGCGGCCGCAGCCGTCTCCGGCGGGGGTAGGGCCGGGGGCCCCGCCATGCCTCCCGCCCGGCCCGGCTGCACGGTGCGCGCTGCCTCCCTCCCAGCGCGGCGCCCCCCTCCCCGGCTCCCCTCCCTCCGCCGCTGCCCGCCTCCTCCGCCTCCCCCCCCCCCGGGGGGCGCAGCGCCTCGGCGGAGCGGCGGCGGCGCTGCTGTTTCTTTGCAAAAAAAAAAAAAAAGCGAGAGCGAGGGAGCGCGAGAGGCAGAGAGAGAGAGAGAGAAAAAAACAGTGAGAGAGAAAGAAAAGAGAGGAAAAAAAATAGGCGCACACTCACTCACTCGCACGCACGCACACACAGCCCCGCCGGTGCTGGGCGCGCGCGGGGCCGGGGATGCGAGCAGGGAGGAGGGGAGCGCGGCGCGGCCGGCCCCTCCCCGCCGCCGCCGCCGCACGCGCGCCCTGCGCCCGGGACACTCCGGCCCCCCTTCCTGCCCGCCCTCCGCCTCCCCGCGCCCGCCGCCTTCCTCCCTCCCACCCCCACGCGCCCGCTTTTAAGGTGGAGCGCGGCCCCCCGCCCGCCCGCCCCCCGCGCCCGGCGCTCGCGCTCACTCCGGCTCTCCCCGGCCCCCCCTTACAACTCCCGCGCGCTTTTTAAGGAGGCGCCGCGGAGTTGGCGCCGGGGCGGGGGCGGGGGGGGAGGGGCGCGGGGGAGGGGCGCGGGGCGGGCGGGGCCCCCGCGCGGGCGGCGCTCGGCCGCCCTCCAGCCATTGGGCGCGGGACCCAGACGTCCCCGGCGCCCAGCCCCCCGCTCCACGCCTCCCCGGCGCGCTCCGCTCGCGGGACCGCACTTACCGGGAACTCGTCGGCCCGCGGGCCGCGCCGCCGCGGGGGCCCCCCGGCCGGCGCCGCCGCCCCCGCGCTCGGCTGCCGCGCGCCGCGGCTGCGGCGAGGGGGCGCGCACCGACCCCCCCGCACCCCGCCCCGCGGCTCCGCTCTGCCAGGGCCGCCCCCGCCGCCGCTCGGCCTCCCCGGCGCACCCGCCCGGCGGCTCCCTCGAGCGCCCTCGCGGCCGGGGGCCGGGCGCCCAGCGCCCAGGGGTGGGGGTGGGGGTGCGCGGATCCGGGGTCAGAGGGCAGCTCGGCGCCCCCCGCCCCCCAGCTCCCGCGGGGCAGAGGCAGTGACGGAATTCCAGCGGCACCCGCGATTCTGCAGGGCCGCAGCCCGGACGCCGGGGTCCCGAGCGGCCTCGCCTCCCCGGGGTGCTGGGGGGCCCCCCGACCTCAGCAACACCCGCAACACTTTTTTTTAAACAAAACTTTATTGGTAATAGTTTTCAAATATGTTTACAACAGCACACGGTTCAGGAAGTCGGTCCTTCCCGCAGACAGGTTGAATTGCCCCAGCACCCCCTGGGCCGCCCACTCCGGCCTCGAAGCTCCTCCCGGGACCGGGAGAAGTTGGGACAAGGACAAGTGGGCCGGTGGATGGGGTGGCTCCCCGCTTTTCTCCTGGGAGAAGACAGCAGAAATGGGGGTGGGGGGCCGGGATGGGGGTGGGTGGGAGACCCGGAGTTGCTGGGTGGATGGAATGGGCGGCCCCTCCCCCGCAGCCCTGACCTTGAACCCCGGGCTCTGTGGGGGAGGGTCTCTGCCTAATCCAAGTCTTTTTATGTATTTGTTTTTTTAGGGGGGCTTGCCTTCCCAACTGAGCTGAGGCAGGGGCGGCTGGGCATGTAGCTGAGAATAAAACTGCAGAGTTTGGGGAAGGGGGCAGGGCGAATGGGCCCTGGGCCCGGGCGCCTGCGACTTTTGCAGGGAGAGGGGCGGCTTCTTTGTCTGGGTCCCGAAGCCCCGAGGGGCTGAGAATGGTGTCGGGGCAGAAGGCGGCGCTGCTGGAGGTCGGGACTGCCCGCCGGGGACCCCAGCTGCCCCGGCAGGAAGAGGGTGGCGGTGAGCCGCAGAGGGAGCGGTGGAGGTTCGAGGTTCGAGCCCTCCAGCTCCTTCCTCCAAAGGTGCTCTGCTTCCCAGCCGGGTTCAAATGGATTCGGGGAGGCGGGTGGGCAGGAGAGGGGTGGCGGGAGGGAGGCAGGAGGCACTGCTGGAAAGTAAGTGAGATAGTCAATCCGCTTTTCAAATCTTCCAGCGAGAAGCCCCGTGCGCGTTCCGCAGGTCGCCCTGTTCTCTGGTCCCAGGGTGAGCGAGCTGCGGGCGCTGCGATGCTCCAGGGCCTTCGTGCTCCTTCCCTCCCTTCACTCCCTGGGCACAGCCAGGCCGTGGGGGCAGGGGGCGCTTGGACTGAGCTGCCCTCTTCCCATGTGACCCCAGTGCACCCCGACCCTAGAAAAACTCATTTAAAACAAGTGGGTGGGGCGAGGCAGGGGCTGGGGAGAGAAGCAGAGGGGAGAGGCGCGGTGTCCCACCCTTTCCAACACCTGGGCTTCCTGCTCCCCACCTCCTGGGGGTGAAATCTGGACTCTGAAGGAACCCTCGGGCTGTCCAACCCGCCATCCCCCACCAAAAAAAAAAAAAAAGAAAGAAAGGAAAAAAAGGTCAAAGAAAAAATTAAGCAAAGCGAGGGGGGCAGAGGCGCACCCCTAGAACTCCGAGAACTCCTTGCCACACTTCTCATTGATGGAGACCCGGATCTCCTCCTCCTCGTAGTCGTCGAAGTTACTCGTGTCCCCAGGCCCTTTGCACTTTGGTATGAAGGGGGCCTCCACCTGCGGGCAGAGAGGGCCCCCTCAGCCTGCGGGCTCCCCAGGACCGCCCCCGGGGCCGCCCCCAAGCCCACCTTGCGCTGGTAGATGGCGATCCAGTCGGTGGTGGCGAACCACTTGTGGCCCTTGATGTCGCTGACCCCGTTCCGGAGGTTGCCGAAGCGCTTGGTCAGGTCCACCTGCAGCAGGTTCCTCAGCAGGTCCTTCAGGTCGGAGCTGAAGTGGGACGGGAACCGGACCTGGGGGGCGCAGGCAGCGCTCAGCCGGGGCTCACAGCACCACAGCCCCGCCCCCTTCCCTGGCATCCCAGCCTGGTGCTGTGTGACCCTGGTGGCACGCTCCGCCATTCTGGGCCTGGGCTGGGCTGCCCTCTCCACACCCCGCTGGCTGAGAGCCTCCTGTGGACCAGGCTGTCCACACCCTGCGGGCCTCACCTTTCCAGAGACGATCTTCTCGTAGATCTGGATGGGCTGGTCAGCGAAGAAAGGGGGGTAGCCCGCAGCCATCTCGTAGATGAGCACCCCCAGAGCCCACCAATCCACCGCCTTGTTGTAGCCCTGTGGGGTGGAGGGGGTGCAGGGGTGAGGTGGAGGGGGAAGGGGTGATGGAGGGGGTGCAGCAGATTGAGGAGCTAGCGCCTACTTTGCTGAGGATGATCTCGGGGGCCAGGTACTCAGGGGTCCCACACAAAGTCCAGGTGCGGCCTTTCACGCGCTTGGCGAAGCCGAAGTCCGTGACCTGCAGTGCGGGAAGTGGGTTGGCGGGCAGCGGGGGTGGGTGGGCTGGGGCCCCCCTGGGCTGCCCCCCAGCACCTGGATGTAGCCCTGCTGATCGATGAGCAGGTTCTCGGGCTTCAGGTCCCGGTAGATGAGGTCGAGGGAGTGCAGGTACTCGAAGGTCAGCACGATCTGGGCCGCGTAGAAGCGGGCGTGGGGCTCGCTGGGGCAGCACACAGGGCAGGGGGTGAGCACGGGCGCCCCCACCGGGGAAGGAGGTGCACGTCCAGCCAGACCTGCTTGACCCCACCATTGGGTACAGCACGGCCTCCTGAACTGCCCCGCTCTTTGGGTGAAAGAGCTTTGCACTTTTTAATTCTTATTGATTTGGAATGGTTGGGCCATACCCAGCAGTGCTCTGGGGTCACTCCTGGCGAGTTCAGGGGAACCTGTGTGGTGCCAGGGGTTTAGCCCAGCTTGGCTGGTATGAGCTGGTGTCCCTCCCCCCCCTTTTTTTGGGTGACACCCAGTGATGCACAGGGGCTACTCCTGGCTCATGCACTCAGGAATTACTCCTGGTGGTGCTTGGGGACCATATGGGATGCTGGGAATCGAACTCGGGTCGGCCGCATGCAAGGCAAACGCCCTATCCGCTGTGCTATTGCTCCAGCCCCTTATTTTTATTTATTTTTTTTTTGCTTTTTGGGTCACACCCAGTGATGCTCAGGACTTACTCCTGCCTCATGCACTCAGGAATTGCTCCTGGCGGTGCTCAGGGGACCATATGGGATGCTGGGAATTGAACCTGGGTTGGCCACGTGCAAGGCAAACGCCCTACCCACTGTGCTGTCGCTCCAACCCCCAGCCCTTTATTTTTAATTTTAAAAAAATAAATTTTATAGGGGCCAGGAGAGCTTGGGGACCAGAGGTAGCTCCTGGACCTAGGAGCTGGGGGTGAATTAAGTTTCTGGCCAGGCAGTAGACGGGGATCCAACTCAGGGCCTCACACATGTAGGGCCTGCTCGGCCGTGGTTCATATCCAGTAAATGCGGCCCCAAGTGCTGATGGGCCCGGGCCCATGTGCGGACCACGGAGGTGACCCGCCATCTGGCGCCTGAGGCAGTTTCCCAGGTGCTGCTCCCAGCTGGTGCCGCCTCCCCGACCCATGGAGTTTATTGGGGGGCAGGAATGTCCTGGGTGACACTGCTATACCAGGACATGCACTGGAGGGGTGCGGACGGGTGGGCAGTCCTGGGGATGGGGGGGAAACCCCAGGGCGCAGCTCACCTGAACCTCCCGATGCGTCGCAGGTGCGAGAACATTTCCCCGCCGGGCACGTATTCCATCACCATGTAGAGGTTTGAGTTGTCCTGTGGGGGCGGCGGCCAGCCTGGGTCAGCACTGGGTGGGGGTCGGAAGGCTCCAAATGGAACCACCCCCCATGGTGTGCAGGGATCCCTCCTGGCGGGGCCTGGGGGCCGCTCTGGGGTGCTGGGGATGGAGTCTGGGTTGGCCGGCACCCCGTGGGGAATAGTGTCACTCTGCGCCACCCCCCCCACATTGAGGAAACAAAGACTTGAGGACAGCAGAGTGTGGGCGGGGGCACACCATGTGCCCAGAGCCCACCTTGAAGCAGAACTCGAGCTTGACGAGGAAAGGGAAGGTGACGGCCTGCAGGATGCGTTTCTCGTTCAGCGTGTGTTCAATCTGCTTCAGCTTCACCACCTGTGGGCGGGCGCGGCCCCAGACAGCAAGGTCACGGCTCTTTGCCGGAGTCACCCGCCGGGAGGGGACGGAGCCAGGGAAATGGGAGGCCGGTGGATGGCCCGAGCAGGGGCTGGTGAGAGCAGAACCCAGGGGCAGCCCAAGAAGGCTTCCTGGAGGAAGGAGCGCTGAGCAGAAACTGGGGGCCTGGAGTGGGAGCGCATGTCAGCAAGTTTTGAGGTTCCAGCCCTGTAACTGCATGGCTCCAGAGTACCACGGCTCCCGAGTTACACGCCCCCGCTGGGAAAGTCCCCCCAGAGCAAACTAGAAGCCGAGTAACTGCATAGCCTTAGGGAGTCAAAAACACCTTCTTATGGGGCTGGAGAGATAGCACAGTGGGTAGGGCATTTGCCTTGCATGCAGTCGACCTGGGTTCGATTCCCAGCATCCCATATGGTCCCCCGAACACCGCCAGGAGTAATTCCTGAGTGCAGAACCAGGAGTAACCCCTGTGCATCGCCAGGTGTGACCCAAAAAGCAAAACACAAACAAATAAACAACAAAAAAAAACCCTCTTAGGAGCTGGAGAGAGAGCAGGGAAGGCGCTAGCCATGCCTGAGGCCCACCCGAGCCCTATCCCCGTGCCCCACACAGTCCTCCGAGCACCGCTGGGTGTGGCCTCCCAAAAAACCCAAATGAATGAAACAGAATGAAACCCCTTTCTTGAGACAGCCAGAGACACCGGGGCAGGGGTGCGAGAGGGTGGCCCAGTGACCTAAAGCAGCCGCCCAGCCAGCGTGAAGCCCCTTTCTTGGGCCGTAGGGACAGCGACAGGGCGGGAGGGACTCCCGAGTTCGACCCCCAGAGCCTCATTCTCACAGTTCGGTCTCTATGAGCAGTACTTGTGGGGGGCGGGGGACGCACTGGATCCCAAACTCTCGGGGCCTCACACCTGCTGGGCCCTTCCCCCGGCACCCCCACCCCCTGGGTACAGCCTGTGGGTGGAGTCGTCCCTAGTAAACAGTACGGTGGGGCCAAGGTAGTGGCCACTGTTAGCCACAGGCCTCCTGTGTGGGCCTTCCCCTCCTCCCTCCTGCCCTGGCCTCCTCCCTCCTCCCTCGGCTGTTCTCCCTCCCGTCCCAGTCCTTCTCCTTGCATCATTTCTCCCTTCTCTTTGCCTTCTTCGTTTCATTCAGGCCGTATTACTGGCTCTGCACTCGGGGATCACACCTGGTGGACTCGACGGCCCTACAGGGTGCTGGGATAGAACCCAGGTCATCGGTGTGCAAGGCCAGCACCCTCCCCGCTGTCCTATGGCTTGGGTCCCTGTCCCGCCCTCCAGCTATGCTTGGGGCTGACTGACCCCCTGCTGTGTTGGCTGTGACTTAGAACTCAGGGGCACCCCCAGGGACTGAACCTGGAACACGGGGTCCCCGCCCCCAGCACATGAAGCGAGTACCCAGACGCCCAACTTTATCATTTTCTTGCTGTGGGGGCAGGTCTCTCCGGAAGTGCCTGGGGAGCTGGTCAGGGGGCCGTGGCGCTGGGCCTGGCGGAGTCTGGGACCTCAACTCCCCGCTTGGAGCCGCCCCATTTTTTATGTTTTGGTTTTGGGGGTGACACATAGTGGTGCTTGGGGGCTGGCCTAGCTCAGCGTTCGGTGCCCTCAGAGAGGCCGTGGCGGATGTGGGGATAAGGTCGAACCCATGCTCCAGCTCTCTGGAAATGGTTTTGTGTCTTTTGTTTTGCAGCTGCACATGGCAGCTCTCAGGGCTTGGGGATCATACTGGCAGGGCTCAGGGAATGCTGGGGATCGAACCCGGGTGCAAGGCAAGCGCCCTCCCTGCTGTCCTAGTGCTTTGGACACTCCCTGATCCTATCTCGACCCATCACTCCACTTTTTAAACTTATTCCGCAGGGCTTCTAGAATATTCCAAGTCACGTGCTGAGCTTTATAGTGTAGTGATGTGCTTAAGGGGAGCCTGACCATTAAAAAAGAAAAAAAAAAAAGAAAATGAAATAAAGAAGAAAAAAGCGGGCCCAAAACACAGGGTTGGGGTGATTGCACAGCAGGTAGAGCATTTGCCTTGCACGTGGCCAACCCGGGTTCGATCCCCAGCATCCCATATGGTCCCCTGAGCACCGCCAGGAGTAATTCCTGAGTGCAAAGCCAGGAGTAACCCCTGAGCATCGCCGAGTGTGACCCAAAAGGCAAAAAAAAAAACAAAAAAAAAACAAAAAACCCTGCCCTCTCAAAAAAAAGACAAAACCTCTCTACAGTTCAACATGCAGGGGGAGAGGGGCAGTGCCACTTCTTCCGGGAAGCCCTCCAGTTTGCTCCCTCCCGGCTGCCTGGGCTTACCTTCTGTTTGTCCAGGATCTTCATGGCGTAGTGGTTCCCCGTCTCTTTGTGCTTTACCAGCATCACCCGCCCGAAGGAGCCCGTGCCGAGGGTCTTGATGCGTTCAAAGTGGTCCAACTGGGCTGTGTTCTGTGGGCGTCACAGGGGCGGCTCAGGGACCCACTGTCCAGGGGAGTCAGTGGCTGGCGCCCGCCCAGGACCTGGGCATCCCGTCCTCCACCAGCAGAGGGGGCCCCTGGGGAGCAGGTGGAGCCGAGGAGGGGGGGGGGCCGTGGGGGGGTTGGCGGCACACTCATTCTTAGGGCTGTGGCAGGGCCAGGTCTGGCCTGGCCTGGGGCCCAGCAGTTGCGTGGGGGGCAGGGGCCCCTGCTGGAGGGGGTGGGGGGAGACCCCTCGGCACACCCTGGGCCCTGCATTTGGGGGAGCTCACCTGAGAAGGGTTTTCCCATTTTTTAATAAAATCTTCTTTGGCTTTGGCTAAGAACTCTTTCACTGCAAGGAACAGAGGGCACAGTTAGAGGGGACCCGGTGCCTTGAGGTGCAGCTGCTTGCCCAGAGTGGGGTGCAGGGTCTCAGCCTGGTCCTGACCTTTCCCAGGGTCTCGGGGTCCCTGGAGGGGCCTGGGGGCAGATTGCGGGGTGCAGGGTAGATCAGGGATGGCCTGGGACCCCTTCACGACAGGGATGGGATCCTGCAGGGTCCAGGGGAGCTCAGGGTAACTTTGAGGGGGACGGGGAGCGGCACCCCAGCCATCCCACCCCCACCCGCCGGGCTTCGAGGACATTCCAGGAGCGGGGAGCAGCGGCCGCCCGAGGTATTTATAGCCACGATCTGGCTGCTCCGCCAGGCCTTCCTCTGGGGAGCGGCTGGGGCTGTGAGCAGGCGCCCTGGGGGGCTCAGCTGTCACCCAGGGGCCCCGGCTGGCCCAGCGAGGGGTGTGTGAGCCTGACCTGCTTCCAGGGTTGCCTGCCCCAAGGGTGCCTCGCGGGAAACATCCCAGGGACACAGTCAGACCCCTTGTCTCCCTTCACCACTTTTCACACTCTGGGAAACTGAGGCAGGAGAACTCCACCCTGCCTGGCTGAGGCGATAACCACCTCCCCTGGGACCTCAGCGGCGGGCGCTGGGCAGTGGCGGCAAGAGAAGTGGGCACGAGCCTGGGCCTGACACCCCCCCAGCGGGACCAAGGGACCACATTTTCCCAGGCTGTGCCTTTCCTCACATCCGAAGTCAGCAAAGGTCAAAGGGGGTGGGGGAAGGACTCAGGAGAACTTTCCTTGATGCCCAGGCCTTGGCTGCCCATCACCCTGGGTCAGGTGGTCCCCGGGTGGTAGTGAGGGGTCAGGTCTGGGGATAGGAGGCACCGCCCTACGAATCAGGCACAGACAAGGGTGCGGGAGGGGGATCCCCAGAGCCCCCTCACTCACCTCTGCTTCCTGCCCCCCCCAGTCAGGGTTAGGGTACAGAGGGTGGGGGTGGGGTTCAGAGTGCAGGCCGGTGAGCGCGGGCTCGGCGGGCACGGCGCAGGTAGCTCAGGAAGCGCCCGGCCAGGTGTGCCCAGAGAAACAGCTGCACGCACAGTTGGAACGTGAGCTCCGAGGCCCCGCTCCGGCCGCCTGGGCCCCCATCCATGCTTGGGTCGCGGCTCCCCCTGGCACCTTTCCTTTGCTGAGGACCCGGAACCGCAGGGCCCCAGGGCAGGCAGGCAGGGCTGTGGGGGGTCCCTGGGGACCACGGAGGAGGAGCCTGTTGCCACGGAACCCTTTAAAGGGGCCCAAGCAGCTGCTGGTAATGTGGATGCCCATCAGCACTCACTGCCCGGGGCACCCGTGGGGCGCTCAAGCTGACTTCCTGTGCGGGGGGCTTCACCAGCTCTGGGGGCAGCAAGACAGCGGGGGAGGGTGGAGGGGAAGGACTTAAGGCTCCTCTGGCCCAGGAAGCAGCCAGGGGCTCCCTGGGGGCTAACGTCTTCCCCCCACGTTAATTAGCTGTAAGAGCAGGTGGGGGTGGGGTGGCAGAGGCTGGGCTCTCTGCAACCCCGAGAGAAGGGGTGCCACACCCCCCACCCCAGCTGCTCCACACTGGGCCTCGAGGTCTGCGCCTGGTCGGGGTGAATCCCAGCGGGGAACGGGGGGAGCACCCTGCCTCTTTCTCTGTCTTCCCAGATCCCCCAAGAATTGGAGGGTTAGGGGCTGGCACCTGTGGGCCCCAGGCAAGATGGGGGAGGGGCAGGCACCTGCCACCACCCTGTCCGTGTTTCCGGGCATGGGGGGACAACCTGCACCCTGGTCTGAACGCATTTGTGCTCCCGAGAGGGAAGGTCACGGGCATCCCTTAAAACAAAGTTAGGTCACCGTGGAGTAACCCTACCCCGGCAGCCCCCCAAACAGCACATAAGAGTGTGGGGAACCAAGGGAAGGGCTGTCCCAGAGCATCTCCGATGCCCGCTCTACGTCAGAACATCCTCCCGCCCGGCCCCAACACTGGGGCAGAACCCCTTTTCATCCAACACTGGGCAGGGTCCTCCAGGGGGCGGACCGACCCCTTCCTAGGCCTGACACCCTCACCCGCCAAACAGGACCTGGAGTTGAACACTGAGCTGAACCCCGACTCGGGGGTCGCCACCCACCACTCCAGGCCGAGTGGGGTCCATCGCCCCTACCTGAGTCAACCCCTCCCCCAAGTCCCTGGCCCGGCGGGTCAGTTGGGAGGGGCTCCCGGGCGCAAGCGGGGTCTCCCAGGCTCCCATCCCCACCGCCGCCCCTCCATGACTGCGAGTTGCTATAGCAACAGGGCAGCGCTCACCGTCGTTGGGGCTGGAGGCCATCACTCACTCACTCACTCGGTCCACCGCGTCCTCCCGGGTGGCCACGGACTACGGCGGCCCCGAGGGCTCCCGAGACTGCGGCCGGCCCATGCCACACCCCGTCGCCAGGGGGCGCTCCGGGGGCGCGGGCAGGGAAGGGGCGCCCGAGGAGACCACGGGCGCAGGGGACCCGCACACAGGACCCTCAAACCTCAACAGTCCCCACGGGGGCGAAGGGAAGTGGGAACTTGGCAGGACCCTCTCGGGCATCCGTACAACGGCCAACGCGTGCAGGGGTTTGGCCCCCGTGGGCCCCTGTAGGCGCGGGGGCTGGTTTTCCGCTGCACCTCTTCGCGGGGAGACATCTCCAAGCTTGCCCCGGAGACCCGCAAAGGCTCTTCCCCAGCGCTGCCCCTTCTCCTGTGGGCCTGCCCCCAGGGGTACTTTTGCCCAGTGCCAGCCAAGGCCTGCGCCCCACTTGGCCGCCTGGCCCTGGGGCCTCTTGGGGCCCCGCTGCCTTTCGATTCCTGCCCGCCCGAGCTCGGGGTTCAGAGCTTGGACTTTCTCCTTTTTTCTTTCCTCCAACCTCCCAGCATCTCTGCTGAGCCCCTGCCAGGGCTTTGGTCTGTTGCCGCCCAAGTGTCGCCTTTTCTCCCACCACACCGCAGGCTGGATCCCCATCCTGGCCCTCCTGAGAACAGGACGGGGCTCACTCGCCCCACACTCGCACCGAGGCCTTGGGCTTGCGGGCTGGCGGTGGAAATGCAGGCAGTGCCCCCTGCAGGCAGGCCTCGCTACTGTTTCCCCCCCCCCCCCTCCGCCCCTTGCCCCCGACCAGAGAGGGTCAAATCGGCCTCATCCCATCCTGGGGACCAGAACGTCCAGACACAGGGGGCTTCCTCGCGCCTCCCAAATCCGGCTGTTGGCGTTGCACCAAGTGGGTTGTACACACCCCCCCCCAGTATGATGAGCCTGTCGGGATACTGCGCCCCGTATCTGATGGTGGATCAGGGCAAACCGGGACTTGATGCATCCTCTGCTTAACTAAGCTGCTCAAGGCTTCTGTCCGAACTCAGGGGAGCCCCCATTGTTTTGATGTTCGACTAAGCAGAGAACCAAGTCAGGGCCAGGGGGCTGCTGAACTCCGGGCAGGGAACTCCGGGGTCCCCAGGCAAATCCCTGACTCCGAGATAGCGGAAGATAGCAGGTGGGCCAAACTCCCAGGGCACGTGGGGAGCCTCACTCTTGCTGCAGCCGAGAGATCACTTGAGCTGGACCTGCGGGGCACCAAGCATGTTGCGCCCAACAGCAGAGAAAGGGTTGGGCTGCACGGGATGCTCCATCCCGCGGTCCCAGCTGCCCCCAGCAGTAGGGAGAGGGTCGGTTGCAAGGATGGTCCATCTGGCTGTCCTGGCTGTGGCCCAGCAGTAGAGGGCTGGCTGCATGGACGCTCCATCCGACTGTGGCCCAGCAGTGGGGAGGGTCGGCGGCAGGGGACGGTTTCCCCGGCTGTCCTGGCTGAGTTGACAGAGTTAATGCTTCTTTCCCGAGCCTCTGCTATTTTTCTTGGGGATCCTCTCCCCTGCCCCCTATATATGATACCCTTGAAAGTTCTCCAGGATTGTCACCTCCCCACTTTCAACTCAGCTCGTGCAACCAGTTGCCTGCCACTGCCCAGTCGGCCTCACCTGCTGGGGCCCGTGGCTCCCCCTCCAAGCTCATGCCGGAGGATGTTTTTTTGGGCCACTCTCCACCTGCTGCCCTGTCATCAAGCGCTCAGCTACAGCCACTGGCCGCCCTGGCCCCCACCATCGCTGAGACGTCCCCCACTGGCCGCTAGGCCATGAGTCCGGGTGTGAATCCCTGGACAGGGGCGACCGGGAGCCCACCAGATGCATCCAGAATAGTCCTCGGAAGGGAGACTTTACATGAGGGGGTTCCGTTTGGGTCCCAGAGTCAATCTGGGGGGATCTAGAGGAGGGTTAACTGAGGGCTTAGCTGAGGGCCATCTTTAGGCCTAGAGTGATGACTTTTTTTTTTAAGTGGAAAGAATTGAGTAAGGGGGTTGAGGCGGTTTTTCAAGGCCTTTCCAGAAACGGGGTCTTTCTCAGTCTAGCAGCAAAAGGCACCATCATTTCGGAGTTTGAGGGGTGGGGATGATCAGACTCTTACAGGCAAAACGAGTCACCCACTACCGTCCCAACAGACACCCCCCCAACACACACACACACACACACACACACACACACACACAAGCCCGGTTCAGGTTGAATGAGCCCAGCTTCACCCGACACCGCCCCCCTCCTCCACCTTTTCCTCGGAGTCAGAAGCTGCTGGAGAAGCCAGGGGGGACTGGGCGAGAGACGGAGCCTTACTTGTGAAACAACCATTTATTGAGGGGCTCCGCCAGGAGCCCTACCGCTTACTGCACAGTGGGATACCGGGAAGGGGCTCTCCAGCCCCCTCCACTCCCAAGTTAGGGAGCGCATACACTGGCCCAACAAGATGGACTGAAACTTGGCTTTGAACGCACCCCTCCACTCCTGTGGGCTCACTGAGGGCTCTCCAGGGAGACAGGCGCTCAAGCAGAGGGGGCACCGCCAGAGAGAGGAGCCTGGGACCCCCCCAAATTGACAGACGGGAAAAACAAGTCTGCAGGTGGCTCTGGGAGATGTTGGGGGGGGCGGGGGTCTGCAATAAAGTGAAGAGGGAAAGGGCAGGAGAAAGATGGCCGGGTTTTGGTGGGGAGGGTGTGGTCACCCAAGTGACCAAGGTCTGGGGGACTGGGGTGGGGGTGGGAGAACGGGGACCCCACGGCACTTCCAGACCGGCAGTGGATTGGGTCCGGGACGGTCTAGCCGGGGAACCATCTGGGAAGAAGTTGAGTGAGGCAGCGGGGGGGCGAGTTAAAATCTGGAAGGGGGGCCAGGAGAAGAGGAGGTGGACTGGCGACAGGGCTCCATGTGGGGCCCCAGCGGTCATGCGTGCCAGGGCTGGCGGTGACAGCTGGGTGTGGAAGGGGGGGAACAGTCTGCAGCGAGGGCGCGTCTGTGCACGGGGGCCCCTGCGCGGGGGTCTTCTGAGGGACCTCAGTCCCCAACTTTGGGCAGGCATGGGTAAGGGGTGCTGAGGGGGGTCGGCAAAAAGAGGCAGGGGGTTCCGGGGGGGAGGGGCCAGGCGGTGATGTCCAGGGCGGGGGCGGGGGCGGGGTCACGGCCGGGCACTCACCGCTCTCCTGCTCGCTGCCCTTCTTGGCGGCGGCGGCGTTGCCCATCGCGGCGGCGGCGGCCGGGGCCGGTCCCGGAGCTGCGGCGGGGCGGGTGCTGGCGGCGGCCCCGGAGCGCGCGGGGCGGCGGCGGTGGCGGCCCCTCGGGCTTGCTGCGCGGACTGCGGCGCCGCGACCCCCGCCCAGCCCCTGCTTCCCGCGTCTCTCCGCGCCCGCCCGCCCGCCTGCCCGCCTGCCCGCCCGGGAACCTCAGCCCAAGTCCGCTGCTGCTGTCCGTGACGCCCCCGCAGCCCGCCGCCCATTGGCCGGGGCCAGCCTGATTGACGGCTCCCCGCCGCCGCCCATTGGCTCTCCGCGACCCTCTCGCGCCGTCACAGGCTCGCGGCCCCGTGACGCGCGCCGCAGACGCCTCGCCACTCCCGCGCTCGCGAGGCCTGGGCTGGACGGACGCACGCGCCTGATTGGCCGGGGCTCCCGAAAGGCGGCCCGGGACCCGCCCAGCGAAGCTGCCGATTGGTGGGGGCGTGCCGTCCCGCCCGCCCTTCGCAGAACGTCCCGTGTCAATCTCGGGGTGAGGGGGCGGGGCCTTGGCGCGGCCGGCGGCCGGGGCCCAGGACCCGCCGGGCGGGGCGGCCCAGCCTGGCAGGCGGCCTCGCGCAGCGGCGCGGCCCAGGAGGCGGTGCGGGCGGCCGGCCGGCCGGGGCCGTGCGCGCCGCAGTCCCCCGCCCGTGCCCAGTGCGGCAGCTTCGGGCCAGAGCTGGCGCCGCGGGCCACACTTCCTGGCCCGGCGCAGCCGCCGTCCACCTGCCAGCGGGGGAGGGGCCGGCGGCGTGGGGGTCAGAGGTCGCGGGGCCGCGGCAGGCCGCGCGCACAGGGGCAGTGGCCGGTTCGGCGTGGGCTGCGGGTGTTCCCGGCCACCGCCTGGGGCGCCGGCAAAGCAGGACCCTGCGCGCCTCCAGTCCAGGGCCGGGACCGTCATGGGCCTTCCAGAGGCCGAATCTGGGGCGCCGGCGAGCCTAGGGCTCCCCCTTGGGTCTGGGCAGAGCGAGAAAGAAGGGATCCAGGTCTCTGCCGTGGAGGCAGGCGGGGTTTTCCTTCTGAGCGACCTTTGCAAGCACCCCGGGAGGGTCTCTGCATCCTCATTCCCTGCCAGCGCGGAGTATGGGGACTTCACTCCACCCTCAGCTGTGACAACTCGGTTCATATCCCGATTGTCACAGCCCCCCCCCCCCCAACCCCATGGGCAGGTTTCTCAGGTGAGGAGAGGGGTTAGGGGATGGACGTCCTGGCTGCACCCCTGCCAGTGCAGGGCTCCTCCAGGCGGCTCCAGGAGGTAATCGGGCTGCTTCCTGCGGGGTCCGGGTGTGAGGGCCAAGATCACAAGGTTCACCGTTCTGTGTGGGTCCAGGGCAAAGTCTGTGGCGTCACTAGATGTGTCCAGCCCGGACACTGCTGCCGAGAAAGGCCTCGTTGGGGATCAACCTGGAAAACTCTTGAGGCGCTCCCAGTGTGGGGAGATGTTTTGCCGGCCAGGCCCACCTGTGGCAGCACCCACAGCCAGCCTTAAATGCACTTATTTTTATTTGCTTTTTGGGTAACACCTGGCGTTGCACAGGGGTTACTCCTGGTTTTGCACTCAGGAATTACTCCTGGTGGTGCTAGGGGACCATATGGGATGCTGGGAATGGAACCCGGGTCGTCCACGTGCAAGGCCAACGTCCTACCCTTTGTGCTATCGCTCCAGTCCCAAGTGCCTTTATTTTTATACCAACCAAACACTGAATATAAAACCCGTCTAAAACAAACGGTGATCACAGCAGACCTGAATAGCAGCGAGGACACTGGAGGTGGGGCAGGGAGGCTGGGGGGTTCCTGCTGTCCCGTGTGTTGCTGGGGGGGAGGTCTGGCTGCCCACACCTGGGCCAAGCATTGCAGGGCCCCTCAAGAAAGCAGATCCTTCAGGAGGCCACAGGGAGGGGCTTCTCCAGTCCTCACCAAGGGTGTGGGGTAGGAAGCGAGCATCCAGGTTCTTTGCCTGTGGCCTGGCTCTGGGGAGTCTGGGGCACAGTGGCCCCAGGGGAGTCTCTGTCTGGAGTGTGCAAAAGCAGTACCTGCTTTTCTCAGTCTTGCTGGGGTAAGCTGGTCACTCAGGCCCTGGCTGGCCAATGGGTCCTCCCGGGGCCACAGCTGCCCTCCAGATGTCCTGGGTGCGCCCAGCTAGCGCCGGGGTCCCAACAGCTAGATGCAGTCCATGGAGTTTTCTGTCAGGAGGCTGGAGATGCAGCTGGGGGGTCCTGGGCCCTTGATGGGGCTAGAGGCCAGGGTCAGATCCCGGCTCTCGGCGCTGTCCAAGTGGTCTGCGGGGCTGTCCCAGTTGATATGGAAACGGGTCACCCGAGGGTTCGAGGTCAAGATGTTCCGCTGGAGCTGCCACAGGGACAGAGGCGTCAGGTCCTCAGGCCAGCCTGGGCACCTGAGCCCCTGTGCCAGCCCAGGCACAGCTGACCTTTGTCCCACCCTCGCCCCCACACGGGACATGTGGGACTGCAGCATGGGCCTGTGCCTCCCCTGTCCACAGCAGGGCTATCTAATCTTGTCCGTGAGGGGGAAGCTTCTGGAAACAAAGGCCTCGCTCCCCCATTCCACAGGCTCCCGGGCCAACCTGGAGAAGTTTCGCACGTGTCCATGGTGCCAAGGCCACCGCCTGGACTGCAGTGGGTGCCACACCCACCTGGGAGAAGTCAGGCGTGGGGGGTGGGTTCTCCTGCAGCTCGGGGCTGGGATACTCGTTGTTGACGTAGTAACCCACGCGGATAAACTCCTGTTCGTGGTAGATGCAGGTGAGGAGGACCACAGTGACGCCCACGGCATCCAGCTTGGGGATGAGGGATGGGTTGGGGGCATCGGCCTAGGGGAGACAAATCTGGGGTAGTAGCATCCGTCACCAGACCCGCAGCACCATCCTTAAATCCCACCAAATGGTGCTTAAGGTAAGGAAGGTCCACAGGGGCTTCCTGAGCCTAACCCCGGGGCAGTGCCGCCCAGGAGGGCACCAGTTCAAGGCACAGCAGACCACTGCATTCTTTCCACTTTCAATCTTTGCTTTCTGGGCCATACCTAGACTCAGGGCTCACTCCCAGTGAGCTTGGGGATCCATATGGGCACCGGGGATCAAACTCAGGTTGGCCGTGCCCCAGGCCAGCACCCTCGCCACAGTCCTGTCTCTCGGCCCCAAAGACTGGAACTTGACACTGGGGTGGAGTCAGCACTCCTGGACAAAAAACCCAAGCCCATCTTTATTTATTTTTTTTTTTTTGGTGGGGAGGGTTGTGCTACATTTGGGGAAACGGGGGCAGAACCTGGGGCTCCTTCGTCCTTACCTGGAAGAGGAACGTGTGTCTCCCGGCAGGCACAGGCCCGACCAGCACAGAGTCAAGGACCTGGTCGAACTCCTCGCTCTCAGCTGAGCCCACATAGGTGACTCTCCACTCCAGGTCTGCAGAGACACGAGGGCAGGGGACAGTGTGACAGCAAGTGTGTGTGTGTGGGGGGGTGAGCCCTGGGTAGGTCTGTGACCCATGGAATGTTCCTCACATCCTTGTTCTTGCTCCCCCCTGGCTGAGCTCCGGGGCAGCTGTGGTGCCAGGGACCCAGCCAGATTAGCGTGTGCGCAGCTAGCGCGTCCCTGCTGGCCTCTCCCTCCACTCGGGGACATTCTTCTCAGCCCACTGGCACCAAGACAAGCAGAGAGCTTTGCTGGCAGGGGTGACATCTGTGCCCCTGCCCTGGGTAACCTTGGCTCATGTATCCAGGAGGAATGGGGGCCTTCCAGGGGCTACCGGGCCCATATGGCAGAGGCTGAATTGAGCAGCAGGTGATGGGCAGGGCAGGGCAGGGCGCTGGGTGGACGCTGAATTCTCTTTCACACACAGGAACTGGTGCCACTGGCCAATCCCTCAACAACAGGGCAGGGGCGGCCTGAGGCCACGGGTGGGGAAGATGAGGCTGCTGGAGGGTCCCCTGCCCTGAGCTCTCTACACAACCAACACCCCAGATCCAGCTTGTTCCCGGAAATTCCAGGTTGGGGACACAAGGGCAGCGACCTGAGCCCACCATGAGACCCCAACTGACTTTTGTGCCCTATCAGTGCTGGGACTGGGGGCATCTCCAGTGTGGAGGTGGGTGACAAGAGCTCAGGGGACCCTGCCTGCTGCCGCCTGGGCAGGATGTCCAAGTGTACCAGGGGCAAGGTCAGGCTGGCAAGGGGTAGCCTGGCGCGAGCAGCGCGGCTTATTTTGGGCTCTCTGGGATTACACAAGCCTGGTCTCCAGTGGGGGAAGTTGCACAAGCCCCGGATTGTCACAGGAAGCACACGCCCTGGGCAGCTGCAGGCCCTGGGGTCCCCCACTCCCCAGGGACCTGGAGGCAGGTCTGGAGCACTCCTGTCATCCCAGCCCCTCCTTGTCGTGCAGGATTTTGTCCCCTTGTGGGTCACCCCAACTTTCCTCGATGGGGCTCACGCAGGTCTGGGGATATAGTGACCCAGGGACCCTGGACTGGGTGCATCCTGCCACTGTCGGTCTGTCCCTCCCTCCAGTCCAGCGTCCCAAGTAGCCCCTGAGCACTGCCATGTGTGGCCCCCAAGCCAGAGCAATGGCACAGGGGGTCAGGTGCTTGCCTGCACGTGAACAAAGCCGGTTACATCACCCAGAGCCCCCCCCCAAGTCCTGCCAGGTATGGCCCCAAAACAACAAAATAATAGACCCCTGGGGGGCCAGAGCAATGGGACAGCGAGAGGGTGCTTGCCCTGCATGTGTCTGATCCAGGTTCAATCTATGGGGCTCCAAAGGATCTCCTGAGACCCACCAGGAGTGACCCTGAGCATAGCTAGGGGTGGCCCTCAAACCCAAACCCAAAACAATAGATCCTGAGAGGGGGTAAGGCCCCCAGCAGGCCCAGACTCACCCCTACCTCACACCCAGCCACATCACATCCTGTGTGAGCCCGGCTCGAGGTCCTCCAACACCCAGGAAGAGAACATGAAGCACAGCAGCACTGAGGAAGTGGCTCTATCGGGCCACACCTAGCTGCTCAGGGGTCACTCTTGGCAGATCTCTGGCAATCTTAGGGGATGCTAGGGATTGACTAGATCTGCAGAATAGGTGCCCTCCCCGCTGTCCTATTGCTCTGGTCTGGTGCCTCCTTTTTATTTTATTTATTTATTTATTTTGCTTTTTGGGTCACACCTGGCAATGCACAGGGGTTACTCCTGGCTCTGCACTCAGGAGTTACTCCTGGCCGTGCTCAGGGGACATATGGGATGCTGGGAATTGAACCCGGGTCGGCCACATGCAAGGCTAACACCCTACCCGCTGTGCTATCTCTCCAACCCTGGTGCCTCCTTTTTAAAGTCAAGGGCGTGACTCTCCATCCCTGTCACCCCATCATCACCCTAGTTCTGCGCTATCTCGTGAACAGGTGGCTTCAGCCCCTGCCACTCCCACTCGCCGTGAGCCTGTGATGAGGCCAAAAGGGGCTTCCTGGAGGAAAGGAGTCACACACACGGCTGGATGAAAGCGGCCTGCTTCATCTCAAGCCCCCACATCCGCCTGCACCCAAAACTCAATGTCACTGAAGCGGCACACACGCTTCACTGATTTACTTACACTTGGTCCAGGAGGATTTAACCCTGCTGTGTAGTTAGTAGCTACAGATTAGATCTCTAGTTAGTACCTCCACTTAGGCAGGGATGAGGCCTGAGAGAGAACAGCCAGGCAAGGCCCTTAGCTGACCCAGGTTCTATTCATGCTAAGGCACAGAGTCCTCTGGGCAGGAGCGACCCCTGTGTACAGAGTCAGGAGAAGGAGGTAAGGCTCTTGGTCATGCACATGGCTGACCTGGTTCAAAACCCAGCACCCCACATTCAAAATCCCCGCATCCTGCTGGGAGTTGATTTCTGAGCTCAGAGCCAGGAGTGAGCCCTGAGCTTAGCCCCAAAACAAAACAAGACAAAACACAGGGAGGGATGGAATTAAGGGGCTAGGCAGGGGCCCTCAGCTGCAGTGGAACTCAGCACTGCCCAGATGCTGCGGTGCCAACCCCCTTCCCCTCCTCTTCCCCCCGCCCCCACTGCACTGGAAAGGCGCCAGAGGGAAGGCGGACACTTGGGGGACCTGCGCGCTCAGAAGCTGCGAGGCTTTGCCCAGGCCTCCCAGCTTAGACCCCCCCCCCACACACACACACTGGATGGATGAACCAAGGTTGCCACTGGAAGCCTGCTGGCAGGGGTCAAACCCCGCTGCGGATTGACTCTGTCCCTTAGAACCTCAGCCAGTCTGAGAAACGTAGGCGGCGAGGTGGGGAGGCCAGAGGGGCCGGGATACTGCGATCAATGCCAGCACACAGGACCAGTGCGGATCACGGTGAGTCTAGCCGGGAGAGCACAGGGTATGTGGGAGTTGTAGGTAAGAGTGGGAAACGCGTGGCCCGCGGAGCACCCCCTGGAGAATAAACGGGCAGGAGCTGGAGGTCGGGTGTCCCACATCGGGGACAGAGTAGGCGGGGAGCGGGGGGCTGCACGCGAGGTCCGGGAGGGCAGAGGGAAGACGGGGCGTCCCAGTGCGGTCCTGCTGCAGAGTGGAGGCTGGGGAGCTGTCTGCGGGGAAAGTGGGGGTGAACGAGAAGAGGGCGGTGTCCCCGGGAAGGCCTGGGAAGCGAGGGTGGCCCTGCGGGGCGCCGGGTCTGGGGTGTCCGGGAGAGGGGAGCGTCCAGCCTCACCGTCTGCCAGGGCCTCGTTGCACTCGAAGCTGATCTCGAACCGGAAGGGGCTGTAGAAAGGGCTCGGGTTCTCCAGCACCGTCACGTTCAGCACCGACACCTTGGCCATGGCTGCGCCGGGCCTCGGCTGAAGCCGGGGCTGGCGCCGAACCCGCGCCCCAGCGGCGTCGGGTCAGGGGAGGGGGCTCGCGCGGAGACCCGCGTCGCTGCGAACCGCTCCCGCCGCCTCAATCCGTGGCCCGCGAAGAGCGTCGCGCGTCCGCGCGCCTCCTTCAAATAGCCGGCCCGCCCTCCTGCCAATCACAGCCAACGCTCCTGGGCGGTCCGAGCGCGCTCTCCGCCAATCGCAAAGCGCCGCTCGGAGCGCGCCCGGGCCTCGCGGACCAGACCGCCGCGCGCCGTCTCCGAGGAAGGCGGGCCCAGAGCTCGGCTACTTTGGGAGTTCTCCGGGAACCAATCCCCAGCGTCTCCGACTCGGTTGTCCCAACGAGGGTGGGGTAGTCAGAGCGCAGGGCTCTTCTTGGCCAATCCCGGGAGTTCCCGCACGGACTTGGCCCACCCCTTCACCCCGCCCTTCCGGAAAGCGTGTTCGGCGGAGGGCAGCGCCACCAACCGCCGAGCGGTGGCGCGCGGCGCCCGCTTAAGAGGGCGGGAAAGGCGGTGTTCGAACCCCTGGTGATTGGCAGACGTCAGTGGGGGGGGGGGGGAGGAAACCGGGATTTCTTGAGAGATGACTTGTCCGCGGCAGGGCGGGAGGAGAGGAAAGCAAAGGCTGGGGATTGGTGGGAGAGAAGCGGAAGTCGGCCAAGCGGCTCGGTGGAGCCCCGGTCAGAGAAAGGAATAGCGGTCCTTATCCCAGTGTGGGGCAACAGGTGAGCGGTCCCCGCAATTTCTGCCCTGGGAGCTTTCGAGCGACCGGAAGCGGGGATCGGATGTGAACGCTTGTGAACGTTTGACACAACACCCCGCTCTGGGGGGAGACGTCGGCGGCGGCGGCGCGCCTGTACCCGACCGAATCCACCACGGCGCCCTGCTGGAATCTCGTCCACTCACCGCGTCTGCTGCGTCTGCCGCTTGTTCTCCCCGGGCCTGGGCCGCGAGCCTTTACCCGCTGCTCTGCCCACCGCGACCACACGCCCGCTCCGTGCTCACCCCTGGCGGTGCTCAGGGCTTCCTCCTGGCTCTGCGCTTCGGAGTCACTCCTGGTGAGGCTCGGGGGAACACCGAAGTACCGGCAATCAGACTTGGGTCGACTGTGTGGAAGGCAGGTGCCTTGCCCGCTGTACTAGCTCTCGAGAGCCCAGTCTTTGCAGAGGACGGAGAGAAAGGGGCCACGGTGACACACGAAAATGGATGATTCCGTGTTTGCGTCCATTGGCTCGGGGTGGGGGGTGGCGGCTGGGTTGTGCCCAGCAGTGCTTGGGTGCCTATCCCTGGCATCTTGAGCCTCCTGAGGCAATGCATTTTTAAGGGGTGTCATGACTCGCATTAGTTAACTTTGGTGGGGGGCACATCTGGTGCTGCACTCTTAGCATGCTCAGAGAACCATATAGGATGCCCAGGATAGATCCTGGGTCGGTAACATACAAGGCATAAGTTCCACCACTGTACTATTGCTTTGGCCCCAGATTAAAAAAAAGACAGAACAAAAATACAGGGTGGCAGAGAGATTGCACAGTGGTAAGGCGCTTCCCTTACTCATGGCAGATCCAGGTTTGATCCTAGGCACCCCGTAAAGTCCCTTGAGCCTACGGAGAGTGATCCCTGAGCAAGCCAGGTATGGCTCAAAATAGGAAATTTCTGGGCCCGATGGACTAGAGCACATACATTGCTCTGATCGACCCCTCAGCACCACATGGGTACCCTGAGCACTCAGTGGACCTGAGGCCACCTGGGATGGATGAGCTCCCACGGTGTCTTTGGTTTGGTTCTGAAGGGGACCAGAGCCCTGGCATTGTACTGTTCCACCCACATCACCGAGCCTAGCGTTTCCAGGAATTATTCCTGAGCCCAAGCACTGCTTTGGACCCCAAAAAATTCCAAAGTGAAAAAGAAATGAGGCCCCAGAGAGAGTTCGAGGGCCTGGAGTCTAACCCCCCTGCACACCAGAAAAACTCCCCTCCCCCACTCTGATGCAGGTTGGCTGCAAGAGCATCCAAGAGGGCCTTGTATGCGGCTGACCAGGTTTGATCCCCGGCATCCCATAGGTCCCCCAAATACCACCAGGATGATTTCTGAGCACAGACCCAGGAGTAACCTCTGAGCAGCATTGGCTGTGGCCCCAAATCCCACCCTCGCCCCCTAAATTGCTTATTGCTGAATAAAGGTAAAAGGTAAAGGCCCTCCCGTTGATCGTCGATTTGCTCCAGCGGGCCCAGTAACGTCTCCATTGGAGACTTTGTTGTTACTGTGTCTGAATTGCTGAATACATCCTGGTTATGTCCGATGTGCTGGTGGTGCCAAAGCGCCCACAACATTGGGATTGATTTCTGTCTGTCTTATTAAACAGGCTCCTTCTGCCTCAGCTGATTTTTAAAATATTTTTTTGGGAGCGGGGTTTGGCGGTGCTTAGGGGTTAGTCCTGGCTCTGCACTCAGGACTCACCACTCCTGGTGGTGCTCAGGGGACCCTTTGGGAATGCTGGGGTTCCAACCCAGATCAGCTTGCAAGGCAAGTCTGGCTTTTTTTTTTTTTTTTTTTGCATCATACCTGGCGATACACAGAGGTTACTCGTGGCTCATGCACTCAGGAATTACTCCTGGCAGTGCTTGGGGGACCATATGCTGGGACTCAAACCCAGGTCGGCCGCATGTAAGGCAAACTCCCTACCTGCTGTACTATCGCTCCAGCCCCCTCTGGCTTTTTTTCTCTCTCTTTTTTTTTTTTTTTTTTTGCATTTTGGGTCACACCCGGTGATGCACAGGGGTTACTACTGGCTCATGCACTCAGTGATTACTTCTGGCGGTGCTCATCGGACCATATGGGATGCTGGGAATCAAACCTAGGTCGGCCGCTTGCAAGGCAAACGCCCTGCCCACTGTGCTATCACTACAGCCCCACCTCTGGCATTTTTTTTAACCTGGAACTCCCCTTGCCCCAAGCTTTCACCCCTGAAGCTCAATGTCCCTGTATTAAGTCAGCAGCATGGGGTCAGGTCTGGGTTCCAACCTCATGTACCTCCAAAGAAGCCTTCCCTGGGGACCTCCACTGCCTCTGCCTCTGACCCCATTCACAGTCACATTCGAAGCAGCTACCATGACACTGGCCACTTCCTCCCCTTTGCTGCTTTCCTGAGCTCAGCCCTTAGTCTGCATGTTTGGGGGGCCAAGTGTCTGTCCTATACACCATGGCCTGGATTCGATCACCAGCACCCCAGGTGGTTCTTCTTCCCAAGCCCCGCCAGGAGTGGGTTTTTTTTTTTTTTTTTTTTTTTTGCATTTTGGGTCACACCCAGTGATGCAGAGGGGTTACTCCTGGCTTTGCACTCAGAAATTTCTCCTGGTGGTGCTCAGGGGACCATATGGGATGCTGGAAATCGAACCCGGGTCGGCCGTGTGCAGGGCAAATGCCCTACCTGTTGTACTATTTCTCCAGCCCGCCAGCAGTGGTTCTGGAATGCAAAACCAGGAGTCAGCCCTGAGCACAGCCAGGTGCAGTTGCGAGGCAGGGGTTGGGGAGGGGCCCCAGAGGCAAACAGCTTATGCTTGTAACAATTGCAAGGCAGGGCCAGCAGATAGCACAAGATGCTGCTTAGACTTTGTAATGCTGGAGACCAGCCAAGTCCCTGGTATTACATGGTCCCCAAGCACCAGGTCCCTGAGCTCTGAGCCAGAAGTCACCCCTAAGTACTGAGTGTGCACAGGGTGTGTCCCCTCCCTTTCCCCCCTTGAAAGCAAAACCCCCTCTAAAGAAAAAAAAAGAAGGTAGATCAACTGGTTTGAAAATAACATAATAAAGCGTTGATTGGTACAATTGACGCATTGTCAGTGTGTTGATTCAGTGCAGTGTGGAATGTGGGCTTAGCAACAAAGTAGCTCCTGGTGTCTGGGAACTGGGTGTCTCACCCAAACCCTAGCAACTGGGGACGGGGGGATGGGGTGTTTCTCACCCAAACAGGGCCTCTAGTCCGTCTAGCCCCAGAGAGAATCAGGCATAAACAGACACACAGAGTTTTTTGTTCGTTTTTCTTTTTGGGCCACACCCTGCTATGCACAGTGGTTTACTTCTGGCTTTGCACTCAGGAATTACTCCTGGCCGTGCTCAGAGAACCATCTGGGATGCTAGAATTGAACCCGGGTTGGCCACGTGCCAGGTAAATGCCCTTCCTGCTATACTATCACTCCAGCCCGTTTTTGCTTTGTTTGGGAGTCAGACCCAGTACTGCTGGAAGCACTTACCCTGTGGAATTCTGGGGAACTGGGGCTCCCATACAAAACCCAGCCCAGTGTGCTCCATGGCTCCCTGGTCCCAGGCGCTGGTCCTGGAGCTGTCCTCTGCACCGGCTCAAGAATGACCCCTGGCTGTACCCAGGGAACCTTTGGGCGGGGGTAACCTGCAGTAAGGCAAGTGCCTTCTCTTGGTTCTGTCTCTGGCTCCTGCCTTTTTTTTTTTCCTGAAAAATACAGCAAGTTGGCTCAGTTTGCTCATCCAGGAACCCAGGGCTCATTCCCTGGCTTTACATGGCCCCCAGCACACTGTCAAAGGTCACCCAAAGTCACATGACATGACCACTCCGGAGCCAAGTCCGCGGTAAAGGGAACCCCACAGCGCCCTCCTTCCAGTGGAATGGGGGCTGACAATGGCCACCCTGGTCAGAAGGGAGACAGCCTTCTCTGGGGGTGTGGAGAATAGTCAGCGGCAGCTCGGATCTCTTACCAGGAAATCCTCCCAGGTCCAGAGTTCAAAGTTCAATCCCCAAATCCAGGGCATCGCAGAGCAGGAGCCCTGCACTCTGCCAGCTCTGCTGTCGGTCATCTCCCACTCCCAGGATGTCCATGCCACTGTGGGTGTCCCACCTCAACAAGAAATATATATATGGTCACGGTCACGGTCCTCCCGTTGTTCGATTTGCTCGAGCGGGCCCAGAAATGTCTCCATCATGAGACTTGTTGTTACTGTGTTTGGCATATTGAATACGTCACGGGTAACTTGCCATGCGGGCGAG